GCATGCATTTTGCTTTGCATTGCATTAGTCTGAAGTATATAAGATCATATGCCTCTGTTTATCTAACAGTAAGTAGGAACTCGGTTGTTCAACGATTGCTTTCTGGGGTTAATAATCTATCAAAAACAAATGTAGTCACTCAATCCGTGACTGTTTGTGGGACACTGCTGTGCTCAATTGGCTGCCACTTTTTGTCCATAAAATATACAGTCAATTCACTTTACAGTATATTCTGTGAAGCACTTTGAGACGTCTCAACAACGTGATAAGGTGTCATAATCAAATGCAAGGATTATTATTATTATTTCAGATGACAACGTTACTTATAACTACAATGCACCTTTCTCCCACACTGCCCATTCATCTTAAAGAAGAATGTTAGATTCAGTATTTCCTTGAATAAGGAAGGAGAGTGGCTTTCAATCTATGGACATTATTTCAATGCCCAGATAGTATCCACATGATATCTCAGAGTCCAAGCTGAGTAATAATAATAATATAATAATAATAATCCTTGCATTTGATATAGCGCTTTTCACATCTTCCAGACGTCTCAAAGCGCTTCACAGAATAGACTGTAAAGTGAATTGACTGTAGTTTTGTGGGCGAAATACGGCAGTCAATTGCGCACAGCAATGTCCCACAAACAGTCGTGGATTAAAGTGACCAATTTTTATTATTTTTTTCTTGAGGGATTATTATCAGGCGTGTGGAATAAGGAAACTTGCCCAAGGTTTCGCCCTGTGGGAATCGAACCCAGGTCTCTTGCTTGCAAGGCAAGTGCTCTTACCACTGAGTAAAATGGGATAAGGCTGTTCTGGGCCAATACTACAGTGTCGTGTTTCTGGACTCCTATCCTGTCCATCTGTCCTTTTGGAACAAATGATTGAGTCATGAAGACTGGACAATAAGTTGTGCTAATGTATTTGTAAATCTCCTTGAAAAATGCATGGGGTGGTAACAAGTTAAAATCCCATTTGTTGTGGCGGAGGAATAGAGGCCTGCATTCCCTATTCCCTATTCCCTATTTCTAATTCAGCCTGAAAATTGAATTTAATATAATTAGTGGGTGTGGGTTGGGGGAGGGAAATGAAACAACTGTCTACTCAGTCGGAGCGTGTGGGATATTTAGATGTTTCTCAATGCAAAATATTATGCATACTAATAATTTGATGTTTTCTGATATGAATTGTGGTGTTCCAGGGGATTTCAGAAGCAACAGTGGGAAATTGCCAGGTTTTGAAGGGTGTTATTCTTAAAAACAAGCCCTATGGAATTCCCCCTCTCCCCCCAGATATTTTGTCTTTTTCTTCTGCAATTTGATAGACTCCACAATTTTAAGTGACATTGGGGTTCGTGCAGGAGAAACTAAGTAAGAGCAGTCTCAATATGCAGATATCTAAGTAGCTTGTGCACCTGCAACTCATTTTATGAGCTCCTTATTGATCAGTTTGATTGTCTGAAATCGTTACAACTTTCATTTGTTTATATTGTGGTCTTCATAAAGGATGACCTCTTGGAGCACCTCACAAAGGCAGTGTCGGGAGAGAGATGGGAGGTGACCCGAGGTGCGCTTGACGAGAGTCTTTTAAAGAACATGTTCCTACATGACTGATCTAAAGAGCGGTGCTCACAACATTATAAATATTTAGTTGGAGGAAGGCTGGTTCTTTGCATAAATGTGTTTTACATTTATAATTTGGGTGTAGCAGCATACAATAAGCCTTTAGAGTTATCATACACAGTCAATATTGAGTTCTGAACATTGTAATAGTTCTGAACCAGTTTCTCTTGTTTTGATGATTGAATGGTTTTGTTAAACAATACGGGAGGTGTTGTCCCTTCTCTTGAGCCTTTCCCCAATTGAGTCTTGCGTCACTCTCCTGCACTGTATAGATTATTTCTTCAGTGTCAAGAATTGAACTTTGCATGAACTTTAGTAAATTCGGCACAGTATTTTCTATTCGAGATGGGATTTTTGCAGTTGTTGCTGGCATCAGGCTAGATTTCCACTAATCCACAGTATTGGCTCAGTTACTAGAATTCTGGGTCAGAAGGTTGTGAGTTCAAGACGCAAACTTTTACTTTTGTTCATTGTCTGCAGTGCTGAGGAGTGCTTTATAGCTCGTTGTTGTTGTTGTTGTTGTTGTTGTTGTCATTCAATGAGACATTAAACCAAGGTCCATCTACCTGCCTGGTAGTTAAGGTAAACATTGACAATTCCATTGGAACTGTTTTGAATAAAATCATGGAGTGTTGTTCCCAATGTACTGTCCAATAATGTAAATGGTTGATTTTATTATTGTTTATAACAATAATCGTTGCACTTAAGGGGTGTGTGTGGGATGTTGTGGCACTGATTAGCTTTTGTAGGCCCATATAAGTCACTGCACTTCAAAAGCAGAAGCCTTTTGAGATGTTTCGATGTGATGAGGCCACTTCATAATTAGGCTTTTCAGCTCACCATCACTTAGTTTAAACTTGACTTCTTAACGCAAACAGCCAATAAGAAAATTCATTGGGATGGAATTATAGCAGTAATATTATGTTGTTAAAAAAACATACAAAATACTGCAGATACTGGAAATCTGAAACAAAAACAGAGAGAACTGGGAAAACTCAGCAGGATCAGCATCTATGGAGCATCTATGGAGAAAGGAAAGTGAGTCAATGTTTCGGGTCCACGACCCTTCGTCAGGACTGGGGCATGTTGGGAGGGAGAGGTTTTTAAGAACAAGTTGAGAGGGGGAGACAAGACAAGGAAGACAAAGACAAAAAAAGAAAACAAATGTGTTAGTTGATGGATTAAAGAGGTGATAGTGCTTTGGGACGTCCTTCCGACGTGAAAGTGCTCTATAAATGTAATTTTGTTGTTATTGTTGTAGTGGCGTAAAACAAAAGGGGTGGGTTGAAACAAAACTGGGGAGAAGAGATGTTAATAGTACAGAACAGGCAACACACCAGAGAGAGACAAAGAGTGTCTGGGGTGATGATCGTAATGATAACAGAAGATAACTCTTCTAGTAACAGAAAAGGGGGGAGGGGGGAAGGTGAGCTGTTATGGTCTGAAGTGGCTGAAATCGATATTGAGGCCGGAGGGCTTTCGGGTCCCTAGCAGATAGATAAGATGCTGTTCCTCAAGCTTTCGCTGTGGATCATTGGAACAGCGTAGGAGACCATGGATGGAGAGGTCAGACTGTGAATGGGAGTGTGAGTTAAAATGGCAGGAGACCGGAAGGTCAGGGTTGACCTTGCATACAGTACGGAGGTGTTCTGCAAATCGGTCACCCAATCTGCACTTAGTCTCCCCAATATAGAGGAGACCACACCGTGAGCAGTGGATACAGTATACTACATTGGTGATAGTACATGTAAACCGCTGTCTTACATGGAAGCTGTGTTTGGGGCCTTGGATAGTGGTCTGGGAGGAGGTGAAAGGGCAGGTATTACATCTCCTGTGCTGGCATGGGAAGGTGCCAGGGGAAGGAGAGCAGCTGGTAGTGCGGACGGCGGCATGAACTAAGGAATCCCAGAGGGAATGATCCCTTCGGAATGCAGAGAGGGGAGGGAAGGGAAATATGCATTTGGAGGATGAGTCACGCTGGAGGTTCAGGAAATGTCAGAGAATGATGTGCTGAATATTGAGGCTGGTGGGGTGATAGGTGAGGCCTAAGGGGACCCTATCACGGTTCCGGGATGGGGGGGAAGGGGCGAGGGCAGAGGTGCAGGAAATAGGGCGGACACGGTCAAGGGCCTTGGTTATTACTGTCGGGAATCCTCGGTCGAGGAAAAATGAGGACATCTCGGTTGCTCTGGCGTGGAAGGTTGCATTGTCAGAGCAGATGCGACGGAGGCGGAAGAACTGGGAAAATGGAATGGCATCCTTGCAGGAGGCTGGGTGGGATGAGGTGTAATCAAGGGAGCTGTGGGAGTTGGTGGGCATATAGAAAATGTCTGTGGATAGTCTGTTACCTGACGTGGAGACAGTGAAGTCGAGGAAGGGAAGGGAAGAGTCAGAGACGATCCATCTGAATTTTATGGAGGGGTGGAAAGTGGAAGCAAAATTTATAAATGCTTCTAACTCACTACGAGAGCAGGAAGTGGCCCCGACACACTCATCAATGTACGTGAGGAACAGGTCAGGGAGTGGACCTGAGTAGAACTTCCTAATTTGTGGAGTCCTGTAGCTCAGTGGTTAGAGCACTCGCTTTGCAAGCGAGAGACCTGAGTTCAATTCCAGGCAGAGGGCGAAACCTTGGACAAGTTTCCTTACTCCACACGCCTAATAATAATCCCTCCAAAAACCCAAGACAATAATAAATTGGTCATTTTCAATCTACGACTGTTTGTGGGACATTGCTGTGCGCAATTGGCTGCTGTGTTCGCCCACAAATATACAGTCAATTCACTTTACAGTGTGTTCTGTGAAGCGCTTTGGGACGTCCTCCCGACGTGAAAAGCGCTATATCAAATGTAAGGATTATTATTATTATTACATGTGAATTGAAGAATTTTTTGAATTGTATGAAGCATTAAATTATGCGTGTTTTGTTTCCAAATTAATTAAAGTATATAGATGCTCCTTTCCTTATCAAAAGGATGTCTTAGCAGTGTTTATGAAGTTGATTTAGCTGAATGTAATAGTACATTAAAGTTGTTTTGTTGCCTGTGCTATAATTGTGCCAATTTTTTTTGCATTTTTAAAGTAAGTCTTATCATGTTTTCCAAATCCTGACAAAATCTGTTTTCCTGGCTGTAGCAATAATAATAATCCTTGCATTTTGATATAGCGCTTTTTACGTCTTCTACACGTCCCAAAGCGCTTCACAATGTAAGCACAATGTAGTTTAACTCATCCATCTCAGAGGTTTTTGTAGAACCATTTCTGTTATAACAGAAATGAGCCCTTTCCATCTATAAATTTGTGAATATGTTAGTGAATGACTTTGCTTGGTGTCTTTTACCTTGTACTCTGAACTTGTGCTCTTTTTCTGTTTCAGATCCTAAGGATCCCATTGCAATTGAACGACTCAATTTAATGAATATGGCAAAGCTGAGTATTAAGGGTCTTATTGAATCTGCTTTGAACTTGGGACGGTCCTTGGATTCAGACTATGCTCCTCTTCAGCAATTCTTTGTGGTAATGGAACACTGTCTCAAACATGGCCTTAAAGGTGAGTTGGAAATTAGGAACAGGTATCAGATATCGATCCTGTAACCTTTGTTTCTGGAATAGTGGCATTCAATATAGCGTCTTATCAAGTCATAGAAGATATGACTCCTCCATCAGAAAGCTAGGCCTTGGATTAATTGTACAATTGGTGGAGAAAAAAAAAGAGCCATGTGGCTATTGCAAGACTGCCATGAATTTTAATCATCAACCTCTCCCTGTCCTCTGGTACTGTTCCCACCCCATTAAAAACCACTGTCATCACTCCTTTCCTTAAAAAACCCTCCCTGGACCATTCTTTACTCCCTAACTACCGGCCCATCTCCAACCTCCTCTTCCTCTCCAAGGTCCTGGAACGAGTTGTTGCTTCTCAGCTTCGCTCCTTCCTCTCCTGTCACTCCCTTCTCGAACCCCTCCAATCGGGTTTCTGTGCCCCCCACAGCACAGAAACAGCCCTGGTCAAAGTGACAAATGACATTCTGTCCATCTGTGACCACGGCTCCCTCTGCCTCCTCATCCTCCTTGACCTCTCTGCTGCCTCGACAACATTGACCACTCTATCCTCATCCACCACCTCTCCTCTCACCTCAACCTCCATGGCGCTGTCCTTGATTGGTTCAGATCGTGCCTCTCACACCGCCTGTACTTCATCTCCTCAAATGGCTTCTCCACTAGTCCCTGGACCGTCTCGTGCGGCGTTCCTCAGGGCTCTGTCCTTGGTTCCCTCCTCTTCAATATCTATATGCTCCCTCTTGGTGACATCATCCGCAGGCATGGGGGTCAACTTCCAAATGTATGCAGATGACACCCATCTCTAGCTCTGCCTCCACCCTTGACTCCAGGGCCACTGCTATCCTGACAGAATGTCTTGTCAGACATCAAGTCCTGGATGAGAGCTAACTTTCTTCAGTTGAACATCAACAAGACCGAGGCTCTCCTGATTGGTTCTCGTCAGCACCTCCTCACCTCAGGAGCTGACAGCATCACCATCCATGGTTGCACACTCAACCTTGCTAAGCCAGTCCAGAACCTTGGGGTCTTGTTTGAGCCTCAACTATCCTTTCTATCCCACATCCGTGTCATGACCTGCTCTGCCTTCCCCCACCTCCGCAAAATCGCCCGGGTCCGCCACTGTCTCACACCGCAGGCCACCAAAACCCTCATACATGACTTCATTACATCGAGGCTCGACTATGCAAACTCACTGCTTGTTGGCCTCCCCAACTCTTCCCTCCACCGACTGCAGATCATCCAGAACTCTGCAGCCCGCGTCCTCTCCTGCACTAGGCTCTGTGACCCTATCACCCCATCCTCGCCCGACTCCACTGGCTTCCCATCACACAGTTCAAGATCCTGGTCCTCACCTTCAAACCCCTCCATGGTCTTGCTCCCCCCTACCTCTCCAACCTCTAAACCCCTACCACCCTGTTCGCCCCCTCTGCTCAGCGGGCTCCGGCCTGCTTTACATCCCCCTGCCTTGCTAGCCCCACTATTGGCAGGCAGGCCTTCAGCTACTCTGCACCCACCCTCTGGAACTCCATCCTGCAGTCCCTCCGTCTCGCCCCCTCTCTAGCCATCTTCAAGACCCACCTCAAGACCCTCCTCTTCGATCGTGCTTTCGATCTCCCTGCTTCCCCCATTGCCCTCCACCCTCCCCACCCCAACTGCCAGCTTGGGTCCGTAACTCTGTCTGTCCAGCGCCTTGGGACGTCCTCCTGATGTGAAAGGCGCTATACAAATGTAATTTTGTTGTTGTTGTTTAACTTTAGAAAGAAGCTTTGTAATTTGCCTCTCGCTCTGCCGGTCTGATGAACTTTACCTTAGCAAATGTAAACCAAAGAATGATGATTATATTGTCAATATCTTTGTCCACATTCACTTGGAAGGTGCCTAACATATGATCAAGGTGAATGATGAATAAAAAGTGAATTGCCCTCTTCTCCCATTTGGAAACCTTGAAGGGGGGTGGGAGTGGGTAAAGCAACAGCTACAACAAATTTGCATGAATTGAAAAAATACTGTCAGAGGAAAGTTCTGTTTCTGAATTAGTTGTATTCTTATCAAATAGTGTCTTATCAAATCAAAAGCACTTCACACATTGAGCTGCTTTTCAAAGGTGTGTTCACAAAAAAGGCTCTAGGTAAACACTACAGCTTATCTACTGCCATCCAAGTCCCACCACAGCACATTTACCAAAGATTTAATTTTTGGGGGGAATGTTGAACGAGGTGGGTGGGGGGGAAGTCGACCCGGACAACAAGAGAGCTCCCGTTTGTCTACAAAATCACCACAGGAGGACGTCCCAAGGTAAAATCAGTCATTCACTTTTTGGCTGTTTGTGGGACCTTGCTGTGGGCAAATTGGCTGCTTCGTTAGCCTGCAGATACACTTGGCATTTCACAATGTATCCTGTGAAGTGCTTTGAGATGTCTCAATGTGGAAGGCTGTATCAAATCTAAAGATTATTTTAACTGAAGCCTGAACTGTCAGAACAAGCAAACACAACCTCAGTTTAATGTCTCACCCAAAAGAGAGCAATAGAAAAAAACACCCGAAAGAGAGAGAGAACTGAATCCACAACTGTTTGTGGGACACTGCTGTGCCAATTGGCTGCTGCGTTTCGCCCACAAAATACACAGTCAATCCACTTTACAATATTTTCTGTGAAGCGCTTTGAGACCCAACTGTGCAGCGCCTTGGGACGTCCTCCTGACGTGAAAGGCGCTTTATAAATGGAATCTTGTTGTTGTTGTTGTTGTTGAGACGTGTCAACAACATAAGGTGCTGTGTCAAATGCAAGGATTATTATTATTTTTCATGTTGGAAGGACGTTCCAATGTGTTATATAAGCTAATTTTAAAAAACTCAATGTACAGTACAGGTATGCCCAAATTAAAGAAAAGGACAAGAATAAAAGGAGAAAATAGCTTGAAATACCAATTAGTATCTAAAGATTAGAATATGCCATCATTTATACAGCTTTTTAAGATTTACAAATCTGCTATATCTGATCATATTGATATATATATGTTCAACTAGTTTTTAAATGCAAATTTTATCTAAGTATCTTTTTTAATATTATGTTTTTACCAGCTAAGAAAACATTCCTTGGACAGAACAAGTCATTCTGGGGCCCATTAGAGCTGGTGGAGAAGCTGTGCCCTGAAGCGGGTGAAATTACAGTCAGTGTTAAGGACCTCCCAGGTCTTAAGTGAGTATTCAATCTTCACTCACTTTGCTTTGTAACCGCATCTCCTGTGCTAAGGATGGTGAACTGCACCAATTTGTGTATAAACAGGGAATCTTTAATGGTCATCGAGCAAAAAGTTTACTAAAAAAAATCATCTGCATGGAGTGCACTGAGGTGGAATTAGTGTGAGAAGAGGGGCAATAGAACCAACAGTTTTATTGTGAGGTCCAGATATGAGGGCAACAAAGTTAAATTTCTCTTCATATGATTGTTCATCTGTAGATGGATGCAGTGAGGGGACATAGTCCAAATGCAGGTTCTTGATGTCATGAAATGAGGCAATGATGGTAAAGGGATTACAAAATCTTGTTCCACAGCTACCAAAATATTGACTTTTACTGGGATACAGTTCCTTGACGAAGTGACCACTTGTCTTATGTTAGTCTAGACCACAGGCTGCAAGTTGGCCATCCCTGGGCCTTGAGAATGGTTGTCTTTATGCTGTTTGGCAATGAGGGAACATTGTCGCCAAACCTGGTCTGTAACTGAGGCAGAGTCCATAGATTCTGTTAAAAGGGAATTGGTTAGTGGAGTAATATTAAAGGGTATGAGTGGGAGCAGGGAGAGTGGGGTTACATTGGCTCCTGTGGAGAAAACCACCAGCTTTATGGGATGAAATGAGGGGATGAAATGATTTTTTTCTGTACTGTAACATTCAAGTTCTCTTGCATTCTTCCCTCTTTTGCCCCTCCCCAAAGAAAAGAACACCAAGACCAATTGAAGTGCCCCAGTAACATCCCAGCTGAACTAACTCAGCACAGTCCAGGTTTCTTACTCTTGGTGTTATGAAGTGAGCTCCTATTCTTCCAAGTGGATCTTTCCCAAGAATGTTCAAACGTTATCTCTGAGACGCTACCCTGCGTGGAGGATGCTATATAAGTGCATGTTGCTGTTCTCCAGTACAAGATGATCCCAGTCATTATTCATCAGCACGTAGACCACATTGAATATAAAACAGAAGCAGAACTGTTTATACAGGTTGCCAAAACCCTGTTTTGTTTCATTCAGTCTTATTATCAGCCACCCAGATGATCAGTTTGCTGCTGTTCACAGCCATCTTCTGGCCAAGGTTTGGTGTCACAAGCAAGTAGCCTCACTTGTGAGATAGCAAATAGACAGTGTAATGTTTAGTGAAGGGTAACAACTCCCAAGAACGTGATGATCTTGGTGCTCAAGGTTTGTCGTTATGTCCAGTACAAGATGACCCAAGTCTTTATTCTTAGATGGATCTCAAATGTGGAACGATTATCAGCACATTGGATATATTGGATAATACACTGTTTCTGTCATGGCATGGGGAGTTCTATAAATCTCTGTTTTCATTGATATCCATGGTGAGAGGGTGGGAGGGAAAGGATCACATTGCAGAATCATCTCACTAATTACACAAGCTTTGCAGATGCTCTTGTATTGCTTGACAGCTTGGCTTGGTTGGTAACAGTTTCTGCCTCTGAGTTGGAAAGATGCATCTTGAATCCCCATGTCAAGACTTGAACTCATAACTGAGCTGTAACTTCAGTGTAGTACTAGGGAAGTCTTGCAGGCTCATACTTTGGATGAGACATTAAACCGAGGTTCTGTCTGTCTGTTTAAGTGGATGTTAGAAGATCTCATTACACTTTGAAAAGAAAGGTGAATGTCTCCTGCTGTTAGGAAATAATATCTCTGGATACAATATATAGTTTGGGACATGACATGTCATGCAAATGCTAAGATGGTGGAAGGCAAACTGGATGGACCTTGGTTTTCTTTCGCCCAGCAAATTCTTATCTTCTAATAACTATTGCTTTTATCATATTTGCCAACAAATAGTCATTACACTTGTCAGTACTGCAATTGCCTGTAAAATACTTTGGGACTTTCAATGTGATAAGGTCGCTGTATCAAATGCAGAGATTACTACCTCCTAGAAATGTGATGTAATGACAGGTGATTATGTTGTATGAGTTATCTACTATATAGAATACATCTGATGTAAAGGAATCATTGCAAGTCATTGGGTGAACTAAAGAGCAGACGAACCAAGTTCTACATCCTGTTGCTTAAAATATTTTTAATGTAGATTCACCAAATTTCCCAACTAGTTCAATTGGTTGGGTACTGTCCTTAAAAACACATGGTTCTGTGTTTGAATTCTGATGGGTCGACACAGACCTTCGCCCTTTTGAGGTCAATAAAATGAGAGCTCAAACTATATCCACCTGAGAGAGTATGTAAGGTGTATCAGGCCTGGACTAATTCTGAGGAGAATCGTCCATACAAGCCAGGGAAATCCACAGCAATCCAAGAGAGGCCTAGAGGTGATGACAAATCCTTAATCCTGAAAAGGTCAGATCAATAACGTAGCTGTAGCTGAACAAATAACAGACTGCATGGTTACTCTTTACTAAACATAACACTGGCTACTTCCCTTGTCAGAAGTGAGGCTAGTAGCTTGTGACACCAGACCTTGGTCAGATATGGCTGACAAATGGCCTCTGGAAAGAAAACTGATCTTCTAGGTGGCTGATATGCATGCATGGTGACTGCATGCAGCACACTAAGGGTTTTGGTGACCTAAATAATGGCTCTGCTTCTGTTTTATGTTCAATGTGGTCTATGCGCTGATTATTTGCCACATACATTGTAGAGGGGGAAGAGATGGTCATTGATTTCCTTGGCCATGCCCACCAGAAAGATTTTTAAAAAATGTAATCTAACTATGTCCACTAAAAGAAAATCCTGTACTTGGTTTACAGAGTTTAGCTGGGCCCTGAGTGCTTGTTGTTAAGTAGGTTGTGGGGCTCACAAAGCATTTTTGGCAACAGCTGTTGTGATTTTAAAAAATCTTCAGTGTACTCCATTTAGTCAATGTGTGATTCGTAATAGTATCCGAGGGCTACTTTTAACTTTTGCTTGGACATTTGGTATAGAGTAAGCCCTGGTGTGCATTGCAGACGTGGAACTCTTTGAATACTCTTAAGCATGGTGATGGGTTTCTGCATGCACTAACAAAAAAATGCACAGGGATATCTGTGCTGAAGATTTGTACTATGCTTCTGAGAAGGTATCCATTGATAATTGGTGATATGATGCCTTCTCTCACCTGTACTTTATTGCCTAAGGGTTTTGTTTCCTCTTTGTTTTAATCCCTTTTTTCCTTCACCTTTACCCCCCCCCCCAAAAAAAAAAAGCTGTGGGTTATTGTTTCTGTTGCAGGACCCCAGTTGGAAGAGGAAGAGCATGGCTTCGCTTAGCATTGATGCAAAAGAAACTCTCAGATTATATGAAAGCGTTGATTAATAGAAAGGATCTTATGAGGTTAGTTTTTTTTAATCATTGTTGTTACTTCAGCATTGAGGCTGTCTGCATGTAGATGGATGGATTCTAATCATAAAGAATCTGTCCTCCTAATCCCCCCTCCATCAAGTCGCATCTGTCACTGTAATATCTTAGATTGAAGATTCTTGGATTAGTTGAACCCCTTCGCAAGGGGTTAGTATCTCCAAGTGATGGATAAGCATCAAACCCAGACTTCACTGTCCTTTCAACAGGACAAAATTCATTTAAACTGAGCCCGTGTTATGCCTGCACTAGAAGATGTGATTCTCTTTATTTAACCCTTTGTTGCACTATTTTCAGATACTTCACCCCCACCCCCCATCTCCGCCGCCCCACACACACATACCTGGGCCCTTATTTCTTTCCTCCCAGATTGTGAAATGAATGGGCTGCAGTGTTATTGCTTTTTTGTTTTCACATGAGATGAAATACGGAGACTGCTGAGTAAAAGCATGAAACTTCTCCAGTCAGTACAAAGAGCAGCTTCCAAGTTGCGTCAAAGTGCCTTCCAGCAACAAATCTTGAGATAGGAAGCTGTAAGGCGTTGGTGAATTTTTAACATCTGCATTAATTCTGACTTCATTTTTTTCTCTATCTAGTGAATTTTATGAAGCAAACGCTTTGATGATGGAAGAGGAAGGTGCCGTCATCGCTGGTCTCTTGGTTGGGCTCAACGTCATTGATGTGAATCTGTGCATGAAGGGCGAGGACCTTGATACTCAGGTAGCTCATAAATTGTATTCTCAAATGGCTTATTTTGAGGGTAGTTGTGTATAATGTACTTTAAGCTACCGTAACAGAACCCCAGGAATATGTCGGCAGTTTTTACAATCAGAAAAATCCTTGCATTTTTAATCCTTGCATTTTGATGTAACACCTTATCACATCGTCGAGATGTCTCAAAGCGCTTCACAGGATATACTATAAAGTGGATTAACTGTATACATTGTGGGTGAAAGCAGGCAGCAGAGTCCCACAAACAGCCATGGAGTGAGTGACCGATTGGGCAGGATACCGGAAGAAGGAAACTTCCTTCTCTTTTTGAATAGTGCCATGGTATCTTTAATATCCACCTGAACAGGCAGATGGGACCTTGAATTAACAACTCATCCAAAGGCTGGTATTTAGCTTTCCAAAGCAAACCCCCCAGTCTCCCAGTGCTGCATTGGAGCATCAGCTTAGTCTATCAGATCCCAAGCCCCAACATGGGACTTAAACCCACAACCTTCTGATTCCACTGCACCAGACTGACACGCAGTATTGTGCCACCAGAAACACTCCAGTGATCATGGCCACTTCAGCCCTCTCGTAGACCAATATTACACTTGCCCTAATTTGTGCCATTTGTAACAACTCTTGCTACAGTGGCTTTTTGGATCTTCAGACGGTTAGTTATCAATTAATGCATTAGCTTGGCACTAATTAAGATTTTGCCACACACTGCTGATAAATTCCTCTTATCCTGATTTCAATGTTATGGAATATTAAATTGTTTATGTAAACTTCCCTGAATTAACCCATATTTTTCTGCTATATGATTTTGGCTGGTTAAACTGCAGCATTAACTCAATGTGCACTCTGGGGTCCCCAAACCTTGGCTCTTGCAAATCTGGCTCATACTCTTCGGAATTAGGTAAGCAGGATGTGCCCCTCCAGGGAGAGAGTATGCATTCCATTCCACACGCAGGAATTTCACGCAAAAGTGGCAAACATGGAACTTTGTCCAGTTTGGGTTTTTAAGCACAATGATGGGTTTCCACAAGTATCAGACATGAGGTGATAAAGAAAATAATTCCTGTGTCACAAACCCATATTACTGCTAATCACAAAATACTTCCACTCCTTCCAGACTTCACTTTAAAATTCTACCCAAATTCTGCATTAAAAACACAAATGTAGCCCTGACTTTGAGTAAAAACATTACGTTATATTATTGACTCGCATTCTGATGCTAATTAAATGCTTAGAAATGCTTACTGAAACACTGCTATATTGGTTACTCCTCTGCTTTGTTCTGTCTTATTTTATAAATGTCATGAAGTATTGCAGTATTGCAGAGAGAGGAGAAGCATTCTAACTTGATTCTGGTGTACCAATTTAGGTTGGTGTGATCGATTTCTCTCTTTACTTGAAAGATGGCGGTCACAGCAGTAAAAGCAATGAAGGGTGAGTATTTGCTTACAGCTATGTAGTTTTACCTTCTACCTGTCATTAATTCCATTTGAATCTGTGCAACAGATGATCTTTGTAACTGGTTAACTGCTCATTGGCTATAAATGACTAATAGCAGATGAAATATGTGCATAATTTTTCAACCCATGAATTAGCTGTTATAATGATGTAATTTGATTTAGCATATGTTGATAGCATTGAAAGAGGAAATTTGGCTCACCCTGTCAGTGTTGGTGCTGGTTCCCTGACTTCAGCAGCCGTTTGATATAGTAGAAATTTTGTTTCTTTACAGTGGCAGTTTTTAAACTTTTTTAATAGACCCACATAGACAACATAATGGAACATGATTGTTTGTTACAAACAGAATCCATTATCTTGAATGCACCGAGTTGGTAGCACTTTTATGATCTGTTTACAGACCTTATTCCTATTACAGTCCTGCTCACTTATCTTGAACCTGTTTATGTCAATATCCCATTTAAATTGACCAAAAACTAAATCCCGGTCCCTTCTCCGTACATTAATATTAAAAGCTTACCATCTATGTTGATGTTGACTTAAACTTAAAGCAAACTTATGTCGACAAATTGTTAGGTCCCTAACATTATTAAGCGCATTGTTTTATTACCACTTATGTCTACAGTGTACTCTTAAATGACTATTTTATTTACATGACTATTTTTGTAAATAAGTCGACGAAATGTTGTAAATAAGGTAACGAAAATACATGTAAATAAATTCTTCAGCAATTTAAATAAATGTATGACTTTTTTAAAATAAATCAATGAAAATACATGTAAATACACGATTCAGAAATTTTAATCACAGAATACCTATTGTCCACTTGTGCCGACATAACTCGAATAGTCCCCGACATGTCGACATAAGTGGGTAGGACTGTATGTATTTTCTTGTCCCTGTTTAGTACTTGGTAAACGTCTTTCTTTGCTAAACTTGTGTATTGGATTAAATAATTATAGCATTGTGAGCGGAAATCAAAACTAAAGGAGATAAAAGTTTATTGTTCCTTTTACCTGCCCCAAGTGATGTTCCCCTTTAAGCATCAGACACTTGTTGAATGTGATGATAAATGATGATAAACGAAAATCTGTTCTGTTTCAGGGATGGACAAATTACTGCCATCCTGGACCAAAAAAACTATGTGGAAGAACTTAACAGACATCTAAGGTATTGTGCACAGCATATAAATATAACTGCAATGTGAAGTGGAGTTTAAATGTTTTTAAGCTTGATTAGCTTAATTATAACAAATTTCCATCAATCAATTGTTTTTTCTTGGGGATGAGGGAAGGTACTATATGTCTAACAGTTCCTTTCCTTATGCAGCTATGCTATCTCAGTAATTTTAGGTAGGGTGCTTATTGATCTTCTTGTCATTTCTCTTAATGTTTAACATTCTAAAGAAAGGTCTGGTTTAAAGAAAAAACGTGGGAGATTTCATGCTCAGTTGGGTGCAGTTTAAGTATTGATGTATAAGCCTTGTCTAAACTCAAATCATGAGATATTCACAACCTTTTATGATCAATGCATAGCTGTTGGTTTGTATTAGACATTGCTTTACTTGCTGTGCCTATTATTAATATGGAATCATATTAATATGGAATCATCATTCGTCCTTTATTGCATTGACGTCAATCCTAGTCTCTGCTTTGATGCTGAGAGGAACAGATGCTGGAGTTTGACCTTGATATAGTCCTCATATAGCTATGCCACATTTTAACTTGAATGACTTGGAAACATAGAAAGTTTCTGAAAAGAAAATTTAGCTCTTTGTGTTAGTGTTTTTCTAAATTGACCCTTTTTATTATAATAATATATTAATCCTTGCATTTAATATAGCGCCTTATCACTTCTTCGAGACGTCTCAAAGTGCTTCTCAGAATACACTGTAAAGTGAATTGACTGTATATTTTTGGGGGCGAAACGCAGCAGCCAATTGCATATCCTTCAGTATTTTCAAAGCTCAAGTGTTTATCCAGTTCCCACTTGGTGAGCCAAGACTAAGGAGAAGGCATAGAAAGCCTCAAAACTCAATTTGGACTTGAGAGAAAAAGGCTGTTGAAGAGAACTGAAAATCTAGCAGAAGAAACCTCAATAACAAAAGTATAGAATGAGATCAACTATCACAAGGAGTGAGACTAGCATTAGATAGGCTGGGATTGGTTTGTCAATATTTCAAGGGACTTCAATTAATTTTTTTATATCCAGTATTAAGGATACACTCTTTGAAAGATTTTTTAGTCTCCTTGTGATATAAAAGTATCCTGCTGTTAGTCAGGACTGCCTATCTATAAATCCCTTGCTTTTGACAGGTAATTTCTTCCCAGACTTCTGCTGCTGCCCTCTCTCCAATCAGCTGCCAAATGATTGATGGGTTGCATCAGATGGCTGTAATTTATAAAACATTTTGCTTCTTCTGCGTTTGAAAATACTGTCAAAACTAAAAATACCAATAGCTATGATTACAGAAACAATAAAAAGTCTACAGAGAGAGCTGTTTATTTTATACACTTGCTTGCAGTGCTACTGTCAATAACCTACAGGCAAAAGTGGACGCATTAGAAAAATCGAATACAAAATTGACTGAAGAGGTAAGTGAAAATCCGAATTTGGCATCAAATCGATAATCTGCTCTTACTGCTCTGGTTGCCTTGTGAAGTAATTGTAAATTGGAGCTTCAGAGAAAAGCTGCACATCTTGAGGCAGTACCTGTTTTTTGCTTCTGTTGCAGGTGTAATCTTTTCAATGACAGTTCCATGGATTATTGAGGCCAAATATTGGGATAACCTTTTCTTCCCCTCCACTTCTTTTTTTTTCTTTACCCCATATCTTTTTCTCTTATTTCTAATTTTCTATCTGTCCTTTCTTTAAGTTTGATTTTACATTTTATTTTGACCAAATCTAACCATTTCTATCTTTTCCAACTTTAAAACGAGTTAAAAACACATGCTTCTTTCATACTCGTACTGCCCACTATTCTCGAGATGGAAACAACTTGTTTTTAAAGGATGATGTTTCACCAATCAAGGGCTCACATTGACATATGACATAAAGTGTGTCAATTATTGTGGGTTTGAAAATATTGTCAAAACTAAAAGTACCGTTGCTACAAGTACAGAAACAATAAAAATAAAAGAGCAGTTTCCTTGAGGGTTTTATTTTATTTGTCCTGGGTGGAAGGGTCAGTGTTATAAATCAATCCATTTTTTTCTGTGTGTGTGTGTGTGTGAGAGAGAGAGAGAGAAATTATATATTTTTGATCTTCCTGTACTATTCCTGACAGCTTGCAGTGGCAAACAACAGGATCATCACTTTACAGGAAGAGACCGAGCGAATAAAGCAAGACAATGTTTACTACTTGGAATCCACTCGAAAGAAGATGGAGGTATGTGCAGCAGGAGGAGACTGCTGTTCTGTGAAAGGTATTGTTAAGGTTTTTCTGAGAGCTTCAATAACTACTTTTGAGGGACCAGAATTGTGCAAAGAAGTTGCTAAAGGGGAAATGGAGTCTTAAGTGAGTGCTTCTTTTTCAAAGTATTCCCATTAGATATAGGATAAGAACTTGCATTTATATAATGCCCTTCATGTGGGGTAGCATCTCAGAACGCTTAAGGAAAGGAAAAATATATTTGTAATACAACTGCACTGACCCCTTAGTGCATCCTGCTTCTATTACTGTAATACCTGGGACCACCTCTCCCTTGACACTAACCATTAATCCCATTGGATAAATTTAGGCTTGAGCCTGGAGGATACTAATGCAGGAAGAAACACTTTTCAGGTTCAATCTTAAAGTGAGAACTTCAAATAATAGCAACAGGGCTGAATAATACAGATACATTATTTTCTTCAAGTTATTTTTATTGGAAGTACTTTTCACATAAAGTACTCCCATTAAACTTTATTTTCCCTTGAAAGCAAAAATCTTAGTTTTATGGATTAATTGTCCAGCATGATACACCACCTAGTGGTAAAATAAAGATTAGCATCCAAGTTCCCTCACATGTCAAGTTCCTGGTTGGGTTAGCAGGAGATTGAAGGAGAAGAATCAAGTGTCCAGGCATGCCAGCCACTGTCACAAGAGGGATTTGGATGCGGAAGACCTTTTGGCCTATTTCCTCTCAACCTTCCAGAATACCAATCCTGCTGTCATCCATTACAGCAACAAGGTGTTTCCTAAATGAGTCAATTGTCCTGGGCTCAACCATTTTTCTGGATGACTTGCATCAGTAGTTGATTATCCTCTTTGTAAAGAAATCCTTTGTGGTGTTTGACCAAAACTAGCCTTTCACACCCTAGAACCCGCATCCTCATGAGCTACGCTGCCTTAGGGTATCTGAAAAATTCAAAGTTTATGTTTTTTCTATCTGTAAAATGTAACCTCTGTTGTGTTTGAGAACCTTAGTCATCATTATGGTTCGTCATTTTTTTAAATTTCACTCTGATCTGTCTGGCATTGAAATTTCTGCCATCTGGAAATCTTAAGAGGTCTCTCTGCTTTAGAACAATTGAACCTGAGGAATAAACCATAAAAATCATTAGAGTCTAAAAGGCTTTTACCCAGAGCTGTTGCTATGATGATTTGGAAGTTTCTGCACTCTGAGCTACTCGATATTTCTTTTTAATCTTCATTACCTTAGTTAATAGTAGAGATTTTTGCAATGGACCCATTAAAATGGACCCATAAGTTTTNAATCCACAAAATAAAAACCTGTGAATATTTTTTCTGAAGTCTATATTTTGTATCGAAACGGGAGATTATCTAGAGGGAATTGACCCTCTCCCCTCCCAAAAAAAGGGAAAATTCAGTAAAAATTGGGATATATATTGGAACTTTGAAAAGTAACTCAAGAAAGCAAACCAATTGCATACAATTCCTGGAAACCACTACCAACCATAATGCAAAACACATTCCTAGAAAACGACATCACGCACCATATCCTGGATGCTTTATTACAGGGTTGGCCTGTATATTGGTAATCAAAAAAACTGGCCCTTGTCCAGCATCTGAGGCATGGCAGATTGCATTACCCAACTCTGTGGATAGAGATAAACTGGACTCGAGACATCTTATGCCAGGAATCATGTGTGAATTGTTTTTCCTTTCTGTAGGTGTCTAAGCAAGATGGAAATGCAGAGGGCAATTTCCACAGACAGTCCCACCAGGATGATATGTACAATGAGGCCCGGAAACAGCTCAAAGAAGAAACTCAGCTAAGACTAGTAAGTTACATGTGAACTCTTCTGGTAGAATAATACAATAATAATGATAATGAATTTGTGGCTGCACATAATGAAAATGTGTGCACGCTCTCTTTGGAGGGACGCATCATGCTTACCTAATTGCAGAAAGTGTTAGGTGCAGGTTGGCAAAAGCCAAGGCCTGGGGTTCCCCAGAGTGTGCGTTGGGGTACTGTTAGAGTCTAACCAGCTAAAACCACATAGCTTGCAATTGATAGCACTGTCTGGGAAGCTTTTCCCGCTGTTTATCCAGGTAGGACCTGTTAACCCTGGCTTGCAGGGTTAACAGGAGCTGAATGGGAGGATTCCCTGCCCCCAGTGACTGGTTTGCTCTTCAAATCCTGCCGATGAGCCAGGCTGGCTGTGCTGCCATCAGCCGTGCCCTCGCCCACCTGGCTCAGGAACTGGAGTACCGAGACTACCTCGATTCCGACAATCCGTTGCCAAACATGTCACCTTGGAGCCAGTTCAGCACCAAGAAAATCCTGCTTACCTCCCCAGTACCCCCCAATAAGATTAGTATGTTCGTCTTTCCAAAAGTGATGTCTGACATTATACCTTTTCATTCTTACCACTTTCTGAAATGCTCAGGCCATGGGCTTGACCTGAAATTATTGAAGATGCAAAGAATACAATGAATTCATTTTCCATTATAGATAAGCAAACTGACTCTGATTCACAAGTTTAGTTTCGACCAGCAATTTTCTTTCTCAGACGTTCACTGAAAAAATCAACTGGACACCTTGATCTACCATGAAATACTGTAATTCAATACTCGAATTCAAGATCCTCATCCTCACCTACAAGGCCATTCACGGCCTTGCTCCCTCCTACCTCTCTGACCTATTATCCGCCTACTTACCTTCCCGTACCCTCCGTTCCTCTGGCTCCGGTCTGCTCCACATCCCCCACCCCAACCGCCCTACCATCGGTGGCCGGGCCTTCAACCTCTCAGCCCCTAGGCTCTGGAACTCTATCCCCCAGTGCCTTCGCCGCCTCTACCCTTTCCTCCTTCAAGGCCGGTCTCAAGACCTTTCTCTTTGACCGTGCCTTCAGCTCCCCTCTCGACTCTCTACCCCCTCCTCGCTCCCTCGCTTCCCTCCCCTCACCCTGACCATTTCCCCCTCTGCTCGGGTCCTGACCCAACTGTACAGCGCCTTGGGACGTCCTCCCGACGTGAAAGGCGCTCTATAAATGGAACCTTGTTGTTGTCGTTGTAAGAAGCAAAACTTTTTGGGGAGTCAGCCAGGTGTCTGACACATGCGGAAACCCATCACCATGCTTAAAAGCATCCAAACCAAACTGAGAATTCCATGCATCCCACCTACACATGGAAATCCCAGAGATAGATTGTTGGAATGGAATGCACAATGTCTCCCTGGAGGATACATTCCTGCTTACATAATTCAGGAAAGTATTAGGCGCAGGTTGGCAAGAAGCAAAACTGAATTCTGAAAGTATAGCACGGCAGTTGGAAAGCCAATTCAGTCCAGCATTCTCTACAGTAAGTGCCATAACCTTGTATCTAGATCAGGGTGGTCCAACCTTTTGGCTGCTGCGGGCCGGATTCTCTATTTGAGAAAGGACCGCGGGCCACATAAGCAATATTTTGTGTTTCCCTTCCAAAAACATAACAACATTTACCACAGCACCATTTTCATGTTGGAAGGACATCTTGACACTGTCAGCTGGGCAGCTGTGCTGGGGGTGGGAGCCGAGAGAGGTGGGAAGGGGAGGGTAAAAGATGACCAAAAGCGTGGTCAACAAATTAGGTCTTGAAGTGGCTTGAAAGAGGAGAGTTGGAGGGACTCCAGGAATGGAACTCTAGAGAGTGGGGGCAAATGGCGATGGTGGAATTGCCAGATCGGGAGGTCGTGGGGTTGTGCAGATGGAATGAAGGACGTAGAAGAGTTTTTTACTGGGAAAAGAGGGAGCTTGCTGTGAGGAAACTGCACGGCATGTCACTCAGTGTCTGTCCTCGTCCCCCACGGTGACCAAGGGTGGCTCTGATTGTCTGTCCTGACAGTGAACCATGAAACATTGCCCTCAATTCTGCTCCTTCTCTCTGCTCTCTCTTTTTATTTCTGTCTCCCCCTCTCCCTCATGCTCACTCTCCCTCAATCACTCTCTCAACCCCCTTTTTCTCACACACACTCTTCTCTCACGCACTCTCTCTCTCAATTGCACCCTCTCACATTCTCTCTTCCCTCTCACACTTCACCTCCTCCCCTCTCAATCACTCTCTCCCCTCTCTCTCTCTCTCTCTCTCTCTCTATCTCTCTTTCTCCCCCCCCTCTCTCCCTCTCTCTCTCCCCCCCTCTCTCCCCCTTCTCTCTCCCCCCCCTCTCTCCCCACCTCCCTGCCCCTCTCCCCCCTCCCCCCTCTCTCTCCCCACCTCTCTCACCCCCTTCTCTCTCCACCCCGTTCCCCCTTGCCTCCTCTTCCCCTTCCCCCCTCTTCCCTCCACTCTTAATCCCTCTCTTTCTCAATCAATACCTACAGTGGCAGGAGATGGTGGTTGTTTGATTGGTAAGAGGCGCGCTTGCCTTCCTGACAGACTGCAGTAAAGGGTCTCCGAACTGCGCCTCCCAACCACCGGCTCCTGCTGCTACCCTGGGAGGACATTCTCCAGGGAGGGAGCGAGCAGAAGTTGAAATGGTGGAAATGATCTCGGGCTGGATAAGATCACCTGCCAGGCCAGATGCGGCCCACAGGCTGCCAGTTTGACCACACTGATCTAGATGATGAGTTTATGATTTGCCTCTTTCTGTGGTTTAGGATGTTGAGAAAGAGTTGGAGCTGCAGATTGGTATGAAGCAGGAAATGGAGCTGGCCATGAAAATGCTGGAGAAGGACATCTGTGAGAAGCAAGATGTTCTTGTAACGCTTAGACACCAGTTGGATGATGTTCGGTCTCTCAAACATGATCTGTCCCAAAAGGTTCAGGTGAGGATAGGAACGGGAACAAACACTTTGGCTGCAGTATCTTAAAAATTGTCAGCTTGGCTCCATTGGTAGCACTCGCGTCTCTGAGTTAGAAGGGAATGCGTTAAAACTCCATGTCAGCCTCATAGTCTACTGATCACTCAAGCTAGCTTTGTTTTCTAATGCATCTTTTTAATGTGATTTCAATCGAAATGTGGTACACCACTCATTCAAAGAATCTTTGGTAATGCTGTTTATCAGATGTGCCACAAAATTAAGTTTGTCTGCTGTTAGCCATGAAGTTTCTCCCATTACCAATCCTTTTCTCCAGTATATCATCTTAAAAAATATATAAAAAGAAGAAGAACATATTGACATTTGAGATCTCCAGGGAGCGGTGACTCGCCTTGGTTGACTTAAGTGATGTGCTTGTTTAGTGTAAAAAGCATTTCAATAACTTCCCTTCCTTTTCACTCGGTTATCATTATCTGAGCAAAGCACTATTTGTGGTTATCTGACCCTAGCTTACTGTTTCTTTGCAGGAGAAGCAGATTTTTTAAAAGGTTTTCTTCCTAATTTTTATCTTCTAACTTTTTCTCCTCCTGAAGTTTTTCTTTCTTTTCCTACTACTGGGATATTGATCGACACATGCCTGATGCCTTCTGGCATCTTGCCTAAGATTACAAATATTCAGCTGAGAGTTTCGATTGTGTTAAATTTGATTGTGATTTGACCTCTCTCAAGCCCAGTCCTGTCTGAACATGTGCACCTAGCAGCAGGCATCTGTGGATAGTGATTTGGAGTTGGAATCCTTGTTGATTTCCTCCTCCCTAAAACAGTTGAGCTGATGCGGATGGCTGTCCCCAGCTAAAATCGGCTTACTCAAGCGCAGACATAGGGTACAAACCTGTGACTTTCCCCACTGAATGACTTGGTGCCTTTACCTGGTGAGCCCTCTATTATATTTGATTATTACAGCATCTCTTGGTAAACACAGCATTTTCTTTCACTCCTTATAGGGTTCTGATAGTGTGGTCAGACAGAAGAATGAAATCATTGCTCGTTTGGAAGAGAAGACTAACCAGATGGGTTCTACCATTAAGCAACTGGAGCAAAGGTAAAATAACTAAATGTACATATATGAAGTCCTTCTAGCAGTGCAGGATGCATGGCAGATGGCGTTTTGTGCAAAACACTAACAGCATGGTTCCATATTCCTACTTATTCTTGACTAAATATTTACTCGGGTGCTGAGCTGAAGTGGTTGTGTGAATATAACCTGGTTTGATAACGTGCTATCTTCAATTTTTAAAACAAAAGTGCTGAGTGAAATAGTCCTATGGCTGGAAGGTGTGACCATTTGCTGAGTATTTTTCTGAAAAAAATTGATTCTATTTATTTTCTCTCCTATCCCCACCCCTGATGGGTGAGGAAGGGAGAGAAAATAAACAGAATCAATTTTTGATTCTGTGGGGCTGATGGGAGAACTAGTGCTTGGTGTGTGTGAGTGGCCTGAATTGACTTTCACACTCTTGTTCCCCATTTCCCTATCGTCATTGTGACCCACATGTTGTCTCCCCCGACGATCCAACACAAATTTACATGTATACAGCGTCTTTCACAATGGAAGAACATCCCAATACACTTGACAGTGTTGGCTGGGCGCCCAAGCTGGAGGTGCGGGATGGGGAAGGGAAATGTGACTGAAGGCGGGATCAAACAGGTTATATCTTAATGGACCTTGAACAAGATGAGAGAGGGAATGCGTCTTAAGCATCATTTCTTATGGATGGAGTTCCAGAGAGTGGAGCAGAATGGCTGAAAGCCTACCCGCTGTCGATGGGGTGGATAGGGTAGGGGATACGAAGCATCCTCGCTGAATGAAGGTAGTGGCCAGGTCAGTAGGGTTAAAAAATCTTAACGATAGGGGAAACCTACGCAGATTGTCACAGAACAATCTCCTACTGTGTGAAATGCTGCTATGCACTCATGTGCAGATACCCTGAATTAAATAAACTTTTCAATTGCATAAAGTTATGCAACTTTCATCGTAGGAAAACTATGCTACATTGAGCGCATGCCTTTGGCAGCAGTGTAGCAAATTTCTCAAAGCAACCCAAAAAGATGTAGGAAGCACAAGAGAGGTTCAGATGAAGAAAGCCCCTCAGCCTATTTGATCTTATCTTTCCGGCCAATCTATCAAGTTGTTTCTTAACTGAGTCCAATGTCCTGGCCTGAACTAACTTTCCTGGTTGCCGGTTCCAGTTTTTCATTACCTGCTTTGTAATGAAAACAATAATGCCCCAAACAAACTTTTTTTGTACAGTCACTACACTTCACAATGAATCCTATGAAGCACTTCCTCCTGACGTAAAAGGTGAAAGATTTTTTGGTTTCAACATGCATTTATAGAGCAGCTTTAACATAAAAGAAGACATCAAAACACTTGACAAATGTAGTGGTGGACACCAAGCAGGCAAATAAGATATGAAATGATGTTGACTAAGGCATGGTCAAATGATATGTTTTTAGAAGAATTCTGAAGATGGAGAGAGGAGTAGCAAGGCAAAGTGTTTTTTGGAAAAGAGTTTAAGTGGACAGGGGCATAATGCAGACAATATGCAGGCGGGTCTGAACTAAAGCCTGGAATTTCTTATAATTTAAGACCTTTAAGACCATTATCTAACAATTTAAGATCATGCTGAGTTTTGTAAAATTCTTATATTCAGTATTGATTTGAAAGGTATTTTGCATTCTGAGGATTTCAGACCTCTGCACCATGAGTCATTTTTGGCCTCTAAATCACAATGACTTTTTGTAAACCGTGTCCTATATATCACATTTAACTTTTGCTGACAAGTATCTGTCCTTGGAGAAACACGTGAATGGAGCCACAGGAAGGGTATCGTATCTTGTGTGGTTCTTTTAAGAGTTGCAGATGAAAACAAATGCTATCAAGTGTGAACTGGCAAGTTGGTTTGGGCTCCAGCTAGCCTCTGGAAAGTAACTGATCCTATTCATCCAAGGTCCGTTGCCTTCATAGCTGTGGTCCTTGTTCGTGTTAATTACTAACTGTAAGCATCTTTCACTGGTACAGATCATATGGAGCTGTTTTCCATTTCACACTCAAACCATTGTGCAACAATTGAAATGCAAATTGGGTAAACTTGCTGGGATGGTGCTAATCTGAAAATATTCTGTAAAAAAACAAAGTAGATGTTTCGCTGGTGAAAGGGTGGTCGTACAGTATGTGCAGAGTTCTAAGTCCTGCAATAAACAAGGGGGCTCAACATTACAAAATGTTGTGCACCAGTGCTTCAGATGCCTGCATATTGCTTTTTTACCAGTGTGCGTTAATGAATTTGCATGATTTGTATCTTCACTTTATATCCCTGGGTTCAACCACAACTTCCTTTTACAGTATCAAAGGAGAAGAGGGATGGGGGAGGATTACGTTTAGTGGTGAAAGCATCACCAGCTGGGTTAACGTCCAGCATCAAATTATTTTGCTGGTTTTGCCCAATTAATAACGGACACTCGTTTAGTAGGTCACTGAAATTTGTGCTTCAAGTATTTCATTAGAAAATAAAAAAGATATTCATGCAGACGCATTTATTTTCTGTCTCCATCAGTCAGTGTTCTTGACTCTCCACCTCCCTCCAGACCCAATTTCCTTGCCCCCCGTCACCACCCCCCAGGTCCTTGCCTCTGATTTCTCCCTTATATGGGTGAGGATTTGGCTACATGTGAAGCAGGTGAGAAAGGGAAGGTTCTGTACTATCAGACAACCATCCGAGGCACTTGTCCTTACAAACGCCACCTGGAAGCCAGCACTGTGGAGGCACTTGATAATGTCGAGCCCAAATTCATGATGAAAAGTTTTATATGTACTATTGAAGTAACATTTTTTTTTCTTCCAACCTACAACTCCAGACGTATTAATGAAACTGCTGTTTCCTCTCTTCCCTCTCTCTTCGTATACCTTTCCTTATTTTTCATCATCTTCCTTCCTCTTCGGTTTTACGATGTCCTCGTTCCTCTCACCCCTACCTCCCTCCAATCCCAAAGTGAAAGTGATGTGGTGAAACTGGCTAGGAACCTAAACCTTGCAGCTGGAAAACTTGTGCAGAAGCACTAGGCATCGAGGGTCAAGCTACCCGACCAGTCTGGCATCAATTTTATTAATGGAAAATCTGATAAAGCTATGGTTACAGTTTGCAGTGTGAAACATATATTTTTAAATATTCAATTAAAAGTCGACTAAGAAAGTTGATGATGATTCTAGTATTTGAATAATTCATGTTTCACGTAGAGTTTTTTGGGGGCACCATTTCTATGATTTTCTTGGTTGGTTTATTTTCTACTGGTATGGTCCCAAATGCCTTTGTTTTGTTAGTTGTGTTGCATTGAATAGTTTGTCTTCACCAAAAAGGCTGGCTTTAAAACCCCTTGCTATATGGTGAATAAAGTAGCCCAAAGTGTAAGATGTCACTGGTGTTGCAGTGCATGCCCTTGCCCTTTAGTCTATGATTAAACAAAACCTTAAACAAAGGAAGACATTGTAAACAAATATGTACAGTGGAGCCCTGTTATTATTGTACCTTCTACCCAATATTTTTCTATGATTTATAAATTTTCACTTGCTCCCATCCATTCGGAAGGGTTGCTTTTGTTCTTCTGCTACCAATTTATTTAGATCTGGAAATACTGTGCACCAAATTGATTGATTCCTTTCTCGACTCTTGCACATTCTTAAAGGATCGTGGAACATGCAGAGTTGTCAGATTCCATAACAAACCATCATAGGGGACAGCTTTTGAGACTTTGGGTTTGGGATGATTGAAGCTAGGAGCCCCACAAACCCAATTCAGATTTTATTGTGTTTCAAAGAGGCAGGCCCGCAAAGATCAGCTAAATTTCACTGAAAGTTATACACCAATCTACCTGAAATTAAGTTCCACATCTTTCCCAGACAATTGCCCTTGTCCTTATGTTGAGTGCCATATGATAAAACGCATGGGGAAGGGTGGGTGGAAATCAGCAATATGATGTCCATACAATGAGATTGGCAATACAATACAAAATTACATTTCACGTCAGGAGGATGCCCCAAGGTGCTGAACAGTCAGGGATTAGGACCTGAGCGGGGGTGGGGAGGGTTGGGATCAGGGAGGGTGGAGGGCAGAGAGCGTAGGAGGATGGCCGAAGGTACGGTCGAAGAGGAGGGTCTTGAAACGCGCCTTGAAGGAGGCAACGGAGGGAGCAAGGTGAAGGGAATGTGGGATGGATTTCCAGAGGATGGGGGAGAGAGGCTGAAGGCCCAACTGCCAATGGTGGGGTGGGCCAGTCGGGGGACATGGAACAGGCCGGAGCCTGCTGAGCGGATAGAGCGGACAGGTTGATAAGGGGTTAGCAGGTTGGAGAGGTAGGAGGGCGCAAGGCCATGGAGGGCCTTTGAGGTGAGGACGAGGATTTTGAACTCAGTCCTCTGAGGGATGGGGAGCCGGGCGAGGGTGGGTGTGATTGGGTCACAGAGTCTGGTGTGGGAGAGGACACGAGCTGCAGTTCTGGATAATCTGCAGCTTGTGGAAGGAAGGGTTGGGAAGCTTGCAATTATATAATACTTTTCACGAGGAGAACATCTTAGCAATTTACATGGACAGTCGAAAGGGTGGGAAGAAGGGTTTAGGGAGAATGTGACTGAAGGCACAGTCAAAGAGGTAGATTTATCAGAGATTTGAAGGAATGAGAGAGGGTGTGAGGTAAAGGGATTTTAGAGAGAATTCCAGGGAATGAGGGCAAAGTGGCTGAAAACTTGATGAGTCAGAAGGTGTGAGTGACATATAAATTGCCTTGAGTTTGCAGAGCAAAGGTTGTGGGCAGTGGAATGGGACTGGAGGAGGTTGTAGAGATAGCGTGTGGAAGGATTTGGAGGTTAACGTAAGGATCTTGAAGTCGATCTGCTGGGAGACAGGGAGATATTGGAGCCTGGTGAAGATGAGGATGACGGGCATGAGGAGCCTACAGTAGCAACAAAATTACATTTATATAGCGCCTTTCACATCGGGAGGACGTCCCAAAGTGCTGGACAATCAGTGTTTTGAACCCGAGCTGGGGTTTGGGACGGGAGGGTGGAGGGCAGGGTGGGAAGGAGGGTAAGCGAAGGCAAGGTCGAAGAGGAGGGTCTTGAGATGGGTCTTTAAGTTGGCAAGGGAGGGGGCGAGGCAGAGGGACTAGTTCAGGAGAGGCAGAGGAACAACAATCGGGGAATCTGCCATTGTTGAGCAGTTATGGAGACTTATGGAGGCTTCTCTTATATGCAAGGAGAAAAAAAAACTGATGAACTGGGTAATCACTCCAGGATCAGGTTGTTCACACACTTCTGTTCCATGGGGTGAATGATGTATTTCACAATAGGGCAAGGGATTAGTTGGTCATTGAGGTTCTTTGAAAAGTTGTAATATTAAACATTTTAATAAAAATATAATTTTGAATGGTTTGGCATTTCAGAGTTGACTTGGGCTACAACCACTGATGATAGGTTTGTTTCACTGTCTTTGTTTTTGTGAACCAAAAGCTGCCATGTTTCTGCACCCCCAACCCCCCCACCCCCACCTCTCCCCGTACAGTACTGAAAATTGAATTTTGTAATGCTCAAATATTTTGAGGGGTAATTTTGTTGTGAAAGTTCAGGACCTGAAGTGCTTCTGTGAACCAACTATTATTATTATAAACTCCTGGGTGTTCAACATGATATTCTATTTAAAGTGATGGACTGATGCCAAACCAGGTTTAATCTGCCGTAGGAGACCCAGGACAAAGTAGCATATGTGAAATTTTAATTGTGAACTGGATACGATTAAAGATTGGCTTTAAACAAAAACTGATTGTCTTGTAATTAGAAATACAGAAGTCAATTGTGCAGCCAATGCCTGCTTTAACACTATGCTGTCTGTGCATTTTTTAAAGAAAATAAATAGTTTGAATGTTTAATGCTATGGTCTTGAGAGTTGTAAGAGAGTTCTTTCCAGTGCACAGTACATTTTGCTGAAAAAATGTCAACAGTGAGTTTTGTTATAACCATATCATTATTGTGACTTGTAGTAATAGCACAAAATAAAGCACTTGAGAAAACCAATCCCTCTGCCTGGATCCCCTTTTCTTCTCGAGTCCATCATGCTTTTGTTTCAGTTTCATTGAGTTATTTTTGTTTAAACTTTCCCCTCCACCATGGCTTTTGTTTTACCACACATTCGTCTGGCTCAAATCCAGATTGCGACAGGTGGGGGAAAACTGGCATTCAGCTGAGGACGCCAATCGGCACTTCAAGCAGGAGTTTGGTGATAAGATTGAGAGCCTACAACTACAGGTGGAGCAACTGACAAAGGAGCGGTAGGTGTCTGCACCCACTCTGCTGGGGTAGGGGTGGAAACTGGATAAATGCCAGAAGATCAGGCTATTTTGCAATTGGCTGCCATGTTTCGCTTCAAAAATATACAGTCAATTCAATTTGTAGTATTTTCTGTGAAAAGCTTTGAAACATCTCAAGGACGTTATAAGGCGCTGTATCAAATGCAAGAATTATTACTGTTATATAGTTTTCAGCACAGACTTGTTCTAACACAGGTTTCAAGCCAGAGCGATGTTTTGAATCTTAGCCTCGGCTGGCACTCAATGCTCACCCATGCCATGCTTGTTGTAATTTGTAAGATGGCTAGCAAGAGTTCAATCAAGAACAGATGAGTGGGACTTTCTACTTTCCTGTGAAAATCCTGATTAGTCATACAGTAGAAATTATGATCCTAGGAACATCCACCATCCTGACTAAAATAGGAATAGCAGTAGAATTTATGCAACATGTAAGACTTGTGTACAATTTCATATGGAAAACAAATAGAATTTCAGAAAGAATACTGTATCCAAATGCAGAACTAGACAAAGTGCAAACAATTTTAGATTGTTTTTGCATCTGTATAAGCTTGGCCCAGTAAAATTTAACAAGTTCATGGTATTATTGAAAATTGGATCCGTCTCTCTGCCTGATCACACTGCTCTTAGTTCCCAGTGGGAAATGGTTTTGAAGGAACGAAAACAGAACTTGCACAACGATCCCCATCGAGACAAGAATACAGGAGCACATTATCCGAAGCTTGTCGTAGATATGAAGAAGGTAAATAAAGAATTATCTGTATATCAAAAAACAATATTGAAATATTAAAATATGGTTGGTTCGAAATGGGTCAATCAAAATCTGAAAGAAATGGGCTATTGATTCAGATGATCACTTTTAAAGCTGATTGACTTGTTGAATTCCAACATTTTCTATTTCTGTTGTAGATTTCTGCAATGTTTTTAATTTAAGTTTTTAATGCAAAGGGGATGACTGATCTTGCAAATGCAGCATGACTTGATAATCTGCTAATATATTTGAACTTTTGTACACTTTTTTAATTTATGTTTCTCAACTGACTTTAGACCAAGAGTCAAAGTCAAAACATCCTGTGCCCTACATGGTCTACATATTAATAGTCCATCTGATACATTTGATATCATTTAATGTAAGGTTGAATGGCTTCTTCAGTACCAAATGTATGAACCTATTGAATTACTGTTAAATATGGAGTTGAAATGACCTGCTTTGGTTATGATGAAACCTAAGAAATCTTTGCATTTGTGTCTTTGATCATCTAATTTGGGCGACTGACTTGGGTCAGGTGTCAGCCTGGCTGAGTTGCTAGCATTCTTGTCTTTGAGCCAGAAGGTTGTGGGTTCAAGCTTGCGACAGCACTTTTAATTCATCTATGCTGACATTCGAATGTAATTGTCAGAGGTGCCGTCCTTTGGATGAGACTGAGGTCCTATCTGCCTGTTCAGGTGGACATTCATTAAAGATTCCATGTCACTATTTGAAAAGAGAAGGAAATTTATCCTGTACAACAATTCCCCAAATAAAACTGATCATTCACTTCATGGCTGTTTGCTGGACAATGGGAATTTTGTTCGCAAATTCGCTAACGAGTTTGTCTACAAAGACGCAGTCACTAAACTTCACAGTAAAATCCTGTGAAGCAGTTTGAGACTTGATAAGGCGCTAAATCAAATCCAAGGTTTATTATTTGTCATGTTTGTTAAGTAGCCCAATTGGCTACCAATCACCTAAACTCAATGTCTATCACTGTTATAGGTAAGCTATATGGTACATTGTTAACTTTTATGATTTGTAATGTCCCAGTAGATGTTTGTGGCATTTTCACATGCAAGTAATTAATGTGCAATGCAATTTCTCCCATGAATGCTGTCAACTAATTAGAGTTCTTGTTTTTTGGGGGGGTCATTTGGCAGGAATTACAACAGCTCCAAGAAGAAAATGCTAAATTACGGAAAGGACCAGAATGTAAACCTCCAAATGTAAGCCCACACCAATGCAGGTATTGTAATAGATATTGCCTTTTCCCATTAGCAGCCACCTTGAAAGCCTGTGTTTTGCAGATTGAGGGTGTGAATTCCATTTCACTGGAAACTGGGTGGGGAACTTCCCAAATTAATTTCTGTACGATTTGCATCCAAGAGAGACCTTTATTTGTCAGACTTGGCTGAAATTTGACGCTGGGGTCAAATTTGCAAACGTTATTATTTATCTTACCCAACACTTTGGGGCGTTTTCCTGACATGAAAGGTGCTATATAAATGAAATTTGTTGCTATAATAATCCTTGCATTTGATATAGCGCTTTTCACATCTTCTCAAGAAGCGTCTCAAAGCGCTTCATAGAATATACTGTAAAATGAATTGACTGTATAATTTGATGCTATCAAGTTGAGTGGGCACAAGGCACACAATTTTCTGTCCCTCCACACCATTTCTCAATGGTGAAGTCAGAGAAGTTAGGTTATCAAGTATTCAATGGCTAGTTCAGTGGAAATATAGACTTTGGAGTAACAAGAATATCGAGATTGGATCCAGCTAATTTGTAATGTGCAAGTTTGAAGTTGAACGCTACAGATCCAGCTTCTCTGATTTCACTATTCAAATTAGTAGCACTCTTGCATCTGAGTCAGAAGGCTGTGGGTTCAATCCTCACGCTGGGACTTGGAATCACATAGTCTAAGTTGACACTCCAAACCAATGCGGCGGTGTGCTGACTTGTGCTGAATTTTTGTGAGTGCAGTTTGTTAATGAAAGTTTTGAATCATTGTGGTATGTGAACTTCCAAAATTCAAGTTTCTATTTTCTCTCCCAAAACAAAAACATGGGCCGAAATGCCTTCAAATCCTCAATCGTGCCAGTTCACAGTAAAATAGATGGGCCAATATTAATCACCACCACCATCCTACATCAGTCTAGCTGCTTGGAGAGAGTGTGAACACCTGTTGGCACTATTATCTCTTGATCACTGATATCTAAATGAAAACTAACATATAGTTGGTCTGGAGAATGACTTTGCATTATGATTGTTCCAATGTTCTTCAAATTTACCCTTTGTCCCCTCTTAAGAAATTGGAATAAAGAAGGTTGAGGGGTGACCTACTAAACATTTTTAAAATTATGAGGTATTTTGATGGAGTCGATAGGGAGAAATTATTTCCACAGGTTGGTGAGTTAGTGACTAGAGGGCATCAATTTAAGATAGATAGTAAAATGACCAAATTGAGAGAATTATTTTCTCACACAGTGGTTAGGATATAGAATGCCCTGCCAAGAGCAGGGATTGAGGCAGAATTAGCTTTCAAAGGGTAGATAATTACCTGAAAAGGAGTCAGCCTTAGGGGTGTGGGGAAATGACAGGTTATGGGGACTAAAAAGATTCCTCTTTGAGCCTGCACAGACACAATGGGCAAATGGTCTTGCATAATGCTATATGTTAATGTTGAACTGCTTTCAGAGAATGAAGTTCAAGCACACAAAAAATGAGTAATTTTGCATTTTGTTTTTGTGCATTTTTAGATCTGCTGAAGAAATCAAAGTAGAAATGGTCAGTAAAACAGTTTCCTGTGTTTTATTTAAATGTGGATTTATAATTGGGGATTGCATAAATGCCACAATCTGTCTACTGTTACCATGTGTTTCACAGGAATCTGATCAGTCATTGGAAAGCAGTGAGAATACAGCAGTGAATATAGTTTGCAATCTCTGCCAAGACGAAGCCTCTGTCACAAAGCCCAAGGTATGATAGAGATAAATGCTTAGAGCATGGTGAGCTTTATAAGTGACCAATCATAGAGCATGGAATACCTTTACTAACTGCATCTCAACTATTTCATGTTTTTAATCTCGTGTTCAGAGTTCTAACTGGTTGTAGTTCTTTGGTTCAGTGAATTTTTAAAAAATCAATAAAGGTTTAGGAATTGAAAACTTAGTAAGAGGCTGTTTTGTTCATATGGGGATATCACAATGTGAGTTTGCAGAATAAATGCTGATTTTATTAGCACTATTTACAATTTGATGCAATCTATTATAAATTATATTTCTTATTCTACATGTGGTACAAACTTATTGCAAATCAAAATCTGTATCATTGTTCCATGGGGTCTTTCAGGAGAGAAAATAAGTTGGTGTTATTATCTGCTTATAGATATACAAACCCTGACTGAAGTAATTTCAAGTGACAACTCGGTCTTTAAAACTTACCCACAGATTAAATCTCCAAAATGTTACCACCTGAGCATTAAAAATTAATATGTGTTGGTGTCTATTTAATATAGTGTTTGGAGTATTCTAAAATATTTTCCCCAGTCTCATTTATTTTGGACTTCTGCCATCTGTGAAGAGCTCAAATGGATTTGTGTATCAATAATAACAACTTGGATTTATATAGTGCCTGTCACAGATTGCTTCACAGCAAGCTATTCAATATTAAACTCTGTGTTTAGGATCCCTGGGTAAAGGTGGTTGTTGACTTCTAGACCATTGCCACCTAAACATGGAGCTCTATGGACATCTTATGCAATCTAGTCGTTCATTAACTTGTTCAAAGAAATCCAATTGGAGCTGAAGTTCAGTTTTCAAACCAGAAATATTAATTACAGAGGTATTTGTTTCTTATTTTAGGCTCACAGTGGAAAAACTGGTTTGTTGATTTACTTTCTTACAGAATCGATGCCACAACTGTCAGGAGATGTTTTGCAATACATGTAGCGCCAATGAGTTGCCACTTCCATCCTCAATCAAGCCTGAACGTGTGTGTAATCCTTGTCACACACTGTTATTGGAGCAGTATTCCACAACTCCACCCTGAGACAGACTGGAACTACCTGACCAGTGAACCATCCATTTATTATGCTGTGAAGCATTTTGAAAAAAACAGTGAATACCTCTTATTGCCTTTGATTGTATGAAAGAATGTGAAACTGCACAATGTTTCCAAAAATGCACACTTTTTAAAAGTATTCCTTAACATCTTGTATTAAAGGGACTTGAGCCTCCACTCCTTCATATTCGATGTAAGGTTGTACTTTCAACAAGACAATCTTTTAGCACACCAATTATTGTATGTTATTAGTAACAGAAGTAAAAGTGCATGCCATTGCCTTACTTGGCAACAAAAGTATGTTTCTGTACAGCCCTCCGAAAAGGCTCTAAATATGCTGTTGGAATCTATAGCAGTCTTTTGAAATCAGAAATGTTTTATAAAATGTTGTATTGCATAGGTAAGTATTCAATTCTTGAGGTGAGGTTGAATTAAAATAGTGTTTTAAAAGTAAGGTTAAACAATTTCACATCACACGGGACTCCCTGCACCCTAAAATCCAGGCATATTGCACTGAACTGCACATTTTAAGGCTGGGATAATCTTTGCTTCTGCAGTGAATCAAACATTTAACATTCAGTAACTGGATCTTATTGGGACTTTTTAACTTAATTGTAAGACAGGATTTTTTTTCACAGACCTCAATCGATTGTGGACTGAAGGAAGCAGAGCTACTGGAAAATTAAGCACAGGCCACGTATTTTTGTCACTCATGTCTATCACTGTAGATTTAAATGAGCCAATTTCAGGGTTATTTCTATAACACAGTTTGTGCGACAATAAATGAGTTAAAATCTATGGTTCAAAATGGACCAAGAGCACAAGGCATTTTTAGGGTAAATGTTTTACTGTTTTTGTTTGTTGTGGATCATTACTGTTTAAATGTGTGCCTTACGTCAATTGAATTTTCATGTTTGTCATTGATTTCGCAGGACTTTATATCATTATTCATTATCTTTACCTAACCAGGTTCAGAATATATTTTTCCTGATTCATTTGCACAAGCATTGTTAATAGGCTTTTCAATGAAATATTTTGACAATTTTTTTTAAAACAGGAGATTATTTCAGTTTGGTCTATAATTTCAGATCAACTGATGCATCGTACTGTGGCCCAGAATGAGATTGTTTTGTGAAGCTGAGCTTCCTGTGGGCCTGGTATAGATCAATGTCTGGGTTGACTAGATTGTAACTTAAGATGTATTTGTTTGTATCTGTTATACCATTTGAATAAAAAAATGTCATGCAAACAAACTGTAGTGATGCAAGGAAAAATTTGTTTATTAAAAAAAAATCTACCAGTAATTGACCTGGCTGAAATTGGGCTAAGCGTTTTAACACAAGTAAACACTTATGAGGAAAAGGTGTGGGTGGTGCTTACAACTACTAGGATCAAACAAATGTGGTTCATCCTGACTGTGCTCATTTCCTTGGCACTTGCTATGAATTTGGAGCATTTCCTACACATTGGAGCTGGGCTTTTATAGTTGTCCATACATTTCAAGCTTAGATTAGAATCAGTGCGTTTACCTTGGAGATCACAATGCTCCCGAACATCAGTTACTTGCATCCCCATCACACCTGTCTTCACCAGGCTCCACTGTTTCCCAGGGAATCAACTTCCAAGACCCTTCCAAGTCACTCTCCTGTGACCTTCTCCAACAACACTCTCCTGCCCATCCCCTCTGCTTCAAACTGCACACCTGAAACATTATACTGTGCTGCAAGGAACAGTTCTACTACAACAACAACTTGGATTTATATAGCGCCCTCCACGCCAGACGGCGCCTCAGAGCGCTTTACAGTAACGGATCCCAGGACCGAGCCAGGGGGAGGGGGAGGAAGGTGACCAAAGGCATGGTTGAAAAGAAAGGTCTTTAGCAGAGAACTGAAAATGGGAAGGGAGGGAGCGAGACGAAGGGAGTGAGTAAGGCAGTTCCAGAGCCTCGGGGCATAGTGGCTGAAGGCACGGATGCTGAGGGTGGAGCGGAGGACTCGGGGGATGAGGAGGAGGCCAGACCTGGAGGAACAAAGGCAACGGGTACTGTTTTGAGGAGAGAGGAGGTCAGAGAGGTAGGGGGGTGCAGAGGAGTGCAGGGACTTGAATACAAGGGTGAGGATCTTGAAGTTGATCCTCTCTGGGACAGGCAGCCAGTGCAGTCTGGCAAGGACTGGGGTGATCGGGGAGCGGAGTTTGGTGCGGGTGAGAATGCGGGCGGCAGAATTTTGAATGATTGGGATTTTATGGATGGTAGTGGATGGGAGACCGGCGAGGAGGGTGTTAGAGTAGTCCAGCCGAGAGGTGACAAAGGCATGGACCAGGGTTTCAGCAGCTTTTGGGAAGAGGTATTGTCGGAAACAGGCGATGCGTTGGAGGTGGTAGAAGGCGATGCTGGTGAGGGACCGGATGTGGGGAGGAAGGATAATTGGGGGTCGAACCTGACGCCTAAGTTGCGTACGGGTTCGGAGAGTTTTACGGGGAGGTCGGGTAGGTGGAGGAGGTGAGAGCCATGAGATTTTAGACGTTGACGAGAGCCAAAGAGTATGGCTTCCATCTTGTCAACGTTCAGCTAAAGGAAGTTTGCGCTCATCCAGTCCCTGAGATCTGACAGGCAGGCTGACAGAACATCAGGGGACTGGGGGTCGCAAAGAGAGGTGGAAAAATAGAGTTGGGTGTCGTCCGCATACATGTGGAAACGTGCCCCATGTCTGTGGATGACATCCCCGAGAGGGAACATATAGATCAGAAAGAGGAGGGGGCCAAGCATGGATCCTTGGGGTACCCCACAGGTAACCGGGTGAGAGCGGGAGGAGAAGCCGTTTGTGCAGATGTACTGCTGGCGGTTTGTGAGGTCGGACTCGAACCAGGCGAGGTGAGGTGGATGACAGAGGAAAGGCGGTGGAGGAGGATGGCGTGATCGACTGTCGAACACCGCGGAGAGGTCCAGGAGGACAAGGAGGTCGCAAAGTTGATCCCATGGGAGGAGTGAGTGCCTCAATGGCTGTCTGATGAAGACATGCAGACTTTCATTTCAGAATCACAATTTGGTTGGTTGGATGACATGCAAAGATCCATCACCAAGCGTGAACATTCAAACCAGACAGAGAGCCCCACCTACACATGGAAAATTCTGCTGGTCTGGAACAGAAAGTCCATCGTCTCTGCAGAGATGCACACTGATTACTTAATTCTGGAACGTATCAGGTACGGGTGAGAGCCAATGAGCCAATGCTGGAGTGCTGCTGGAATTTAAACCTGTAAAACTGGATAGCAAACCATTGCAAACACTATCCTGCAAAATTCTTCCGTTTCTCCAGCTAAGAACTCCACCCCCACCCATTAATTCTTTGCCTTGCAGGGTTAATAGAAGCCAAGTAGGGATACTAGTGGTTGGCCTGTTCCTCCAGACTGGCCTGGCAGTGCTTCTGAGCTCTACACTCGCCTGGCTCAGAAACCAGAGTACGAAAACTGCCACAGAAGCTTGACTCAATTCCAATCGCCCCTCAGCCCCACATAGAAGCCATTTACCTCCTCATCAAGTTAGTCAGAAATCATCAAGGCATCTTGATTAGTACAATTTAGCGTGAAATAGGTGACAGCACTGTCGATATCTTCATGTATAGTTTAAATACACTCACCTTCCCATTTTGCAATTGCTTATCCCTGCATATCAATCAGGGTAGACACCAAGCTCTGAATAGAGGAGATTCCTATCCTTGCACCACACATTGGCAAATTTTGTGGAGTTTTCAGAGCTTCTTCCTACCTTTTACAAAGTATGTGGGTCTCTTGCAGGAGGAAGTTTGCCACTTGAAGATTTTATAAATTATATCTAATTCAGGTTGAAAATCAATACAGATATAGAACACAAGCACAATCTTCTTATGTGGAATCACACTACTATTTAGTCTTCATACTTGGGAGTTCATGTTCAGCAAGTATCTGCAAACACTGACAAAAGACCAAACATAACAAGTTAGTTGCATTAACTTGCTGGTCTGCAGAGTGTTAACAGGCAGATCATAGCCCACTCAATCTAATGCCTCATGGGAAGGACATCGGTCTAGTCACAGCAGGTAAGGAAAATAGTCACTCCTGCATATCTCCAATCTAATATTTACTGCATAAGATGCATAGAAGGAAGGTGATTGTTCCCAAGTTTACAGATGGGGTGCAAAAGATTTTATAAGTAAATATTTTTCTTCTGTTGCAGCCAAAATGAATTATTTGAAATATACAAGGCCTCCTTAAGTTTATCACTTAAAATGCAAATGTAACTGATATTTTTAAAGATATTTGCTCAGTTGACTTTGAAAGAATAAATTAAGGCCTTTCTTGCATCATTGAAATACAATTCCCAACTACTCCTGTACACGTGATGTAGAAAAAATTAAAGCTGTAATAAAACCGTGTTACCACATTTGTACAAGTAATGTTTTAATAATTAAAAAATCAGTATTTTACAATATTGTGATCAGTAAGATAGTGGTTTACCTGTACGTTACATTCCAATCTGACCTCAGCTGGAATACTGTGTATAATTCTGGTCACCGTGTTACAGTAATTGAAAGGGGTGCAACAAAAGGCACCTAGATCTAGATTGATAGCTGGAATTAGACACCCAGGTTATAATGAGAGGGTATGAAAGCTGGGAACTTTCACACTAAAGGCAGCTCAGGGAAATCTTATTTGAAGTACTCAAGATCCTATAGGGTATTGTGGAGTCCTGTAGCTCAATGGTTGGAGCACTCGCCTTGCAAGCGAGACACCTGGATTCAATTCCAGGCAGGGCAAAACTTTGGGCAAGTTTCCGAATCCACACACCTAATAATAATCCCTCCAAAAAACAATAATAAAATTGCTAATTTTCAATCCACAACTGTTTGTGGGACACTGCTGTGCGCAACTGGCTGCCGTGTTTTGCCCACAAATATACAGTCAATTCACTTTACAGCATTTTCTGTGAAGCGCTTTGAGACGTCTAGAAGACGTGAAAAGCGCCATATCAAATGCAAGGATTATTATTATTATAAATTAAACCCTAATATGTTTAAACATGATCAAATGTAAATTTCTAATGGTCAAAAAAAGCCTAGAAAAAGGAGAGACAAACAAGTGTGAGAGGGAAAGTGAAAGACAGTTCGGATTTAACTAGTGGTGAATATGTGGAACAAACTACACATGGACAAGAATTTTAAAAAATCCTTGCATTTGATCTTGCACCTTACATGTCAGGATGATGATTCAAATGCTTCACAGGATTTACTGTAAACTGTAGTGATTATATTTTGCAGGGAAGGTGGCAGCCAATCTGCATACAGCAATGTTCCACAAACAGCCATGAAGTGAATGACGAATATGTTCTTGAGGTTTGTTCGTCAGCCCAGCAAATTCACACAGCAATTAGTTAGCTAATTAGCCAAGATTTCAAATGAGGGACATGAGTCCAGGATTTACAATTTTCATTTTTTTAAAAAAACTTTGGGATCGGCCAGTTGTTGGGACTAAACGGTCTTCTAATCATGCACATTCCTACGTAACATTCCTATTAACCCACTACACACAAACAAGCGTTCAAGAATCAGCAAGCATGTAAACTTGCTAAAATATTTTTATTGTATCTTGTTTTATATTGAAGTCACGTGATGTAACATTAAAACGTGTTACAAGATATAGGATCCAGTTATGTATAACAAGCAGACAAATGGCCTCAATTTTCCCCTCATTATTTGTGATACCTCACAGGATATCTATCTGCCATCAGGTCCGTTGTCTAAAAGGTGAGCTTTGATCCAAAGTGTGCTTTGGTGCTAGTTCCTGCTTTCATACTTTCAAGATAACTTGCTTATTCGGAAGTGTTCATTTCCAGGACAAACGATGTTCCAGAAATCAAGGCCATTTAACCTTCTTCTTCAGAACCTAAAACAAAACATTAAACGTGGTATATGATTAACTGAATTATTATTGGTGTGGTAATTGGTTTGAAGAGATTCACACTGGACAATACCACATTACACAAAATTCAACAGTACTACTTATTTACATTCTATTCACACAACTATCTGGGATGTTTCTCTGCTCATGCATAGGAAGTTATTATTTTATGTATGTGAAAAATAGCTGAAGATATTTATATATCTTTATATAATATATTTATATATTAAGATATGCACTGTCTACACTGCACAACGCCTCATCCTCCAGTATTTCAACATTGTGACTGCATCCATAACATACCCACCAATGAACCTTTGTTCAAATACATATTGGCCAGAGGAATGTGGTATGGAGGAAGTCAGAGGAACAAATAAATTAAAAATCACAGCATTCATCTCTCTTGCATTTATTTCAAGTTCATCTAAATTGAACCCCAGTTCAGATAAGAGAATTGTTCACCTCAATCTCTCTACCAGCAGTTTGATGGATGTGTAAATAGAGAGAGAACTGGAGCCCTTACCCCTTTGTTGGAATCCCTGGTTGTATTTGCCAGTACTACTTCCGGAGAATGAAGAATTCAGGAAAAGTTCTATGTAACGATGTTCTGCATTTAGGAAAATCAGAAGTAAAAACTAAGATTTTAAACAGAATTTCGGTGGGGGCAGCTGGACCAAGTTTTGCTTATGCATTTCTGAACTAGTTATTAAAAACATTATAAAAGGAATACGTAATTCAAGATTATATTTTATAAACATTAAGGCTTTACATCTGTTATTCCCAAGTTATAATAATGATACTGATCTTTGCATTTGATATAGCGCCTTATCACATCATCGAGACATCTCAAATGTGCTTCACAAGATTTATTGTAATGTGTAATAGTCCTTGCATTTGATATAGCGTCTTATCACGTCTTCAAGATGTCTCAAAGCACTTCACAGAATATACTGTAAAGTAAATTGATTGTATATTTTGTAGGTGAAATGCCTGTAATTTGTAGTCCACAATGGCAGCCAATTTACCCACTGCGATGTCCCACAAACAGCTATAAAGTGATTGACCAGTTTTATATCGGGGTCTGTTGGCCAGGACACTAATAATAATCCTTGCATTTGCTATAGCGCCTTATGTTTTTGAGACATCTCAAAGCGCTTCACGAATATACTGTAAAGTGAATTGACTGTATATTTTGTGGGCAAAACACGGCAGTCAATGGCGCACAGCAGTGTCCTACAAACAGTCGTGGATTGAATGACCGATTTTTTTCTTTTGAAGGAATTATTACAGGACTCCTTTCACTATATAGCATCTTTCACATCGGGAGACATCCCAAAGCTCTGGACACGTCAAGGGTTTGCACTCGATCTAGTGGTTGAATTCAGAGCGGTGGGGGCAATAGGGGTGGGGAAGATGACCAAAGAGTCATCGGAAGGTAAATAGAAAGGTCTTGAGAAGGACCTTGAAGGAGGCAAGGGAAGGGGCAAACTCCAGGATGGAGTTGTAGAGTGGGGGCAAACAGGCTGAAAGTCCAACCGCGATGGTGGGGCGGACAGGGCGGAGGACTTGAAGTAAGCCAGTGCCTGCCAAATGGAGGGAGCGGGTAGGTTGTTAGGGTTTAAAAATACCTAAACAGTAAATTACAGGGGTATGGGGAACGGGCAGGTAAATGAGACTGAAAGGATTGCTCTTACAAGAGCAGCACAAACACAATCTTGTGTACAAGTATAAAGTTGCTGGTCACTTTGCCTAGCTGCATGATCTTTCTAAGAACCTCATGTACATGTGACAAAAAGAGCAAGAGAATTTAGCATATATTGATATATACAATATAATGCTAAACTTATATACATGTATATATATATTGATATATTACATAATACTAATATATATAATATATATATGTATGTATTACAGAGGGGTAGAGAGAGTAGTATGACAGTATAAATCCAGATGGAATAATATCTTATTTATCCCAGGTTGCTTATCCGCAATGGGCCAATTAGTGCAGATAAACATCTACTGTAATCATACTCCATCTCCAAAAATGTTGCAGCCCCGATCATCCTTGGATGAAGGAGTTCTGCTTGAAGATGAGCAATTTCTGTAGGACTGTAAGGAATTTGAGGCCTGGGTGGGGGGTAAAATGACTGAAGGGGTGCTCAAATGCGAAGGTCTTGAGGCAGACCTTGAAGGGGACGAGCTGAAGGGATTCTGGGATGGAGTTCTGGAGAGTGGGGGCAGATAAGCTGAAAGCCCAATCAGCAATGGTGGGCATGAAGCAGAGCCTGAGCAGAGAGCATGGCCAGGTTAGTTGAGTTTGAGGAGGTTGCAGAGCTTGAGGAGGTCACAGAGTTAGGGTGGAAGAAGACCATGGAGGGTTTTGAAAGGGTGGGGAATCCAGAGGGGTTGAGTGAGGAAAGCAGATAGGTAAGAAAACAGAGTTGATTTAATTCAATCATTGACAAGGGAGCTTTTGTGTCAATATCCAATAACATTTAGTTGAGTAATTAATGGTTTATTGGGAATCCCAGCAATTTCGGTTTGGCCATTAAGCAGTGCACTTACGTATACATGATTTGTTCTTCGACATGGCAATCACAGCATCTTCATGGCTAGCAAAATGCACGTCCGCTTCTCCTGTGGCTTTACCATCAGGCCCGTACTCCATAATGATCCGCAGTGGTGTCAGTGGATAGAAAAACTAGAGAAAAAGCAGAGCAATGCTTATCATTAACGTAATAACCCCAGATCCTCCCTGAGATTTGAATCAGAACATTCACAAAATGCCTTTAACAAATGAGAGAAAATATGAGATTATAAATAAAGCACCCTTTCAGTTGTTCACTTCTGCCAAGGCCTCTAAGTCATCAGACCCACAGGCTATGGTCCTCAACCCCAATCATTGATTAATCTGCTTTCCGTGCTGTTAATCCCCTCTGCTCCACCATCGGTGGCCGTGCATTCGGCTACTACGTCCTGAAGCTCTAGAACTCTCTCATTCAATCCCTCCACACTTTCAAATCCCGCCTAAAGACTGTCCTTTTTGATTGTGCTTACTGTCACCTTCCCCCTCCCTCTCCCCTGGCTCGGTGTCAGACTCTGCCACTGTCCTCACCTACAAAGCCATTCACGGCCTTGCTCCCTCCAACCTCTCTGACCTACTATCCTCCTACTTACCTGCCCGTACCCTCCGTTCCTCTGGCTCTGGTCTGCTCCACATCCCCCGCCCCAACCGCCCTACCATCGGTGGCCGGGCCTTCAGCCTCTCAGCCCCGAGGCTCTGGAACTCCATCCCCCAGTGCCTTCGCCGCCTCCTCCCTTTCCTCCTTCAAGGCCGGTCTCAAGACCTTTCTCTTTGACCGTGCCTTCAGCTCCCCTCTCGACTCTCTACCCCCTCCTCGCTCCCTCCCTCCCCTCACCCTGACCATTTCCCCTTGCTCGGGTCCTGACCCAACTGTCCAGTGCCTTGGGACGTCCTCCCGACGTGAAAGGCGCTCTATAAATGGAATCTTGTTGTTGTTGTTGTAAAGCTCTTTGTGACTCCTTCCTGATGTGAAAGGCGCTATATAAACATGTAAATATAAACAAGCAAACGTTCAGTGAAAAAAATCAACAAAGTAGACAAGTTAATTCCTCATCTGAACTTGCTCTCTATCCTATCTACAATATATAGCAATTATTTTCTTAAAGGACTACTATATTGTACTCTCAAAAGGATATACCTTCAGTTAGACTGAATTTGGTAACTGACAAAAGATGCCAAAAGAGAAGAAAACAGGTCAGAGAGCAAAACGAGTGACCAATGGGAAAAATGGCATTTGCTCTCCTGTTTTTTTCCTTATTTGACGGATTTCAGAAAACTCACATTCGCATTTCCCACCCCTTTTGCAAATTAAAATCAATATTGAACCAATGCAACTTTCTAACAGATCCTGGACTGATCCATTTCAGTCTTGCAAACACATTTGGGTAAAGTTTAGCAGCTAGCAGAAACCGCATTCGATTTCTCCTCCCTCCTGTAGGAAGCCATACAGTCTCTGCCTAACACAGCATGCTTCACACTTGGACTAAATAGAGTGCAGGACCAAATCTGTATTCTATATTACTACACATTGATGCCCCAAATCAAAGTATTGCTCGTATGAAAACTATTTCATGATTTTTTAAAAAAAGATTTATTTCTACCTGGCTTATTATTGATGCTAAAATCTCAGTATTACACACAGATGTGGCAGCTATTCCGGTGTGGTTTGCACACCACAAATATTCCTACATACCCTGAACATTACAAAAATACAAGGACTTACCTTCACAACGTCCTGGCCGTTGGCATTGAATGGGAGGCCTCTCATATGCACATTGTATAAATCAGATCTCTGGATACAGTGATTGGGTTCCAAATAGACTTTAGATGTTTGCTCTAGAAACACAAAAGCACAATTCCATTATAAATAAATCCAAGTATATCAGAGCACTTCAATAATCAGTGTTCAAGACTTTTTATTTAAAAACAAAGCTGATTTTAAAGACTGGCTTAATGATCAAATATATGAACCATCTTCCGGAGACTACTAATTCTAATTGGATCTTCAATTGAAGTATGAACAACAACAATAACAACACGTAGCACCCTTCACGCACTTGAGCACTTAACAGTGGCGAGCTTGATACCAAGCCGGAGGGAGGGAGATGACCTTAAGCATGGTCAAAGAGGAAGGCCTTCAGTTGTGATCTAAAAGAGAAGCGGGGCAAGTCGGATGGATTGAGGAAGAGTTCCAGAGTTTCAGGCCGCAGTGACTGAAAACACGGCCGCCAATGTGGAGTGGAGGATACGAGGACTAAGCAGGAGGCCAAAACCAGCCGAGCGGAGAGCACGGGTAGTAGAGTGGGGAGAAAGCAGGTTGGAAAGGTAGGGAGGTGCCAAGACGTGAAGGGATTTGTAGACCAGTGAGAGGATTAAGTTATTTTATAAAACAAAACTAACTGGAAATTGAAATGCATTTGTCTAATATTCTAGAACCCTACAAACTAATGATAGTCAAAAGGAACAGACAACATATTGAATGCACACCAGATTTATCAATATCTACTTTATCACTTCCAGCATTTAACCCTGGTTTCTTACTCAAGGAAGCTGTGAACATGAGGGAGAAGGGAATAGAGGGGTACGGGAGGAGTGGGGGGGGAGTATAAACTCCAGCACAGACTAATTGGGCCTAATGACCTGTTTCAGTGCTGTAAATTCTAAGTAATTCTATGCAAGTTAGATGAGGAAACTGAAAGGGCATGTTTAAGAATAGATCCCAATACACATTTTCACAATCAATTCTATGAATAAAATCTCACAGCAGCTGCAGTCAGCATGAATAAAGCTACAATGTTTAACCTGCGCAGCTGCCTCTGATCTCAGTAAGCTGTGACTGACGGACAGGACAGAAATATTCTGAAACAAAGTAATGCTGGAAATTCGATGTAAAGACTAAAATGCTAGAAATATACAGCATCCGAGAATTAAAACATTAGGCTTCCTCAGAACATCCCTGAAGGTGATTCACCAACAAAACTGTGTGCACCACTGTACTACTAATGCAAATGCTATAAATGAATTTGGTTTCCATGTTAGAAATGATCCCAAAAAAGATCCTCAGCCTCATCATCAAACATTACAGTGTTATTGGAGTCCATCACTTTTGCCTGTCATTTTTGTCATTACGACAGTCTTTAAAATCATTTAAAAAAGCATTTTGAACACTGATTATTGAAGTGTTCTGATATACTTGGCATTAAGAACCTAACTAACAATCAGCACCAGTTAGTGGTACTAACTTTATGAATGTGTGTCGTTACATACAAGCTGAGCTCTGGTGAATGTGATTCAGGAGCAGGAAATAAAAATCATGTTTCCCATTCCCAGTTGCTCTACTGCTGGAAGTGATTTTGAACCATTGTTCAAATACTGTAACTGCACCTCAGACAATTCACATTACAGCAGATAGTGAAAAATTAAAATGATTCACAAACAGAATTTGCTTAACTAAAAAGTCTCAGTGACCCAGCATCACAGAATTGAGAGAAACAATGGCAGAAAGCTGCAGGGTATAGGCTAACACCACCTTTTTGCCACTTGCACTTGTGTGCAGATGGTACCACAGCCGACAAGCAGTCAGCAATTAACATCGCTCAGTGCTGAGGAAGCAATACAGACAGCTGCACAGCCAAACAAACAGAAAAACTGCTCAAAATTTAGAACAGTATAATTAATGGACACCAGGGAGTAACACCATTTGAGATTTATTCTTGCAGTTCATAATTGGTCTAAGATATAATATAATATTTGCATTTGATATAGAACTTTATCACATCTTCGAGCACTCACAGAATATAATAATCCTTGCATTTAATATAGCGCTTTTCACGTCTTCCAGACATCTCAAAGCGCTTCACAGGATATGTTGTAAAGTGAATTGACTATATTTGTGGGCAAAACGTGACATCCAATTGCTCACAGCAGTGCCCCACAAACAGTCGTGGATTGAAAATGACCTATTTATTATTGTTTTGTTTTTTGGTGGGATTATTATTAGGCGTGTGGAGTAAGAAAACTTGCCCAAGGTTTTGCCCTGCCTGGAATTGAACCTTGCTTGCAAGGTGAGTGCTCTAACCACTGAGCTACAGGACTCCACATATATAATGTAAAGTGAATTGACTGTATATTTTGTAGGCAAAATTGGTCTAAGATGTACACTGGCAATCATATGTGGGTCATGCTGAAAATGCAGGACACGCTACTCAAACATAATTTACTTCCTAAGCCGATTTCCAGCGGTCAGGTCGGTGCAACCTCCCTTACGAATATCACATTTTAGATGCCAATGCCTCCTGAACCCCAGTTTTCTGTAACTCTGTTTGTATAATATCTTGGGTTTCCTTACTAAGATTTCTTACCATTCAGGCCTCTTACTTCTTCTTCCTCCACTATGTGCTCATAGGCATTCTTACTGATAGCCACAGCATTGCTTTCGGCATCGAAAATGTCCTGTGCACTTGGACATTGCTGTGGTTTCTTTGACGATCCTCTTTGAGAATGAAATTCACTCCTTTTGCTCCGAAATATCTCAACATACCTAGCCAAAAATAAAACAATAGACAGGAGTATGAGTCAGGTAGTACGAAATCCTAAACTACCATGTTTTTGTAAGCTTTCCCCCCCCCCGACAAACAGCATTTCTACTTTTTAATTGTTTTCCACATTTGTGGGGGAAAGAGATAAACTGGATCTACCTGGGGTTGGTTGGCTCCAACATTGGGATTATTAGTTGGTACAGAGTTGGGCTGAGTCAATGTTCTGTGCTGGATTTAATGACTCAGTACCCAAACCAGGCAGAACTTCCTATCACTGCTGATGACTGACTTTCTTATCTGTTCATTAATAGGAAGTGGAGAGGTGTTGACACATGGCTAGAGATCAGGATCCCCCTGACCCAGATCCCTCCTAGGGAACTGGTGATAGCCAGTTAGAGAGAACGAAGAAACAGGTGGCCTGGCACCCTTCTGAGCTGGGGAATAAGTGTGAAAGAGAAAATAAAAAATGAACTGTAAAGAATCAGGAGCAAAAGCAGGAAAGATTGTAGACCATGACCTAGTTGGAATAATACTTGTGTGGCTGAATATCATCAGTCAGCACTGCACATAGATAAATAATTACAGATTAATTCAAGCATCAAACAAAATGATCAGATTATTACAGTATTATAATTCACCCAAATGAAGTTTTATTTGGGGATGCAAAATACTGCAGATGCTGGAAATCTGAAACAAGAACAGAAGTCGCTGGAAACACTCAGGAGGTCAGGCAGCACCTATGGAGAAAGGAAAGTGAGGAATCGTTTCCTCACTTTCCTTTCTCCATAGATGCTGCCTGACCTGCTGAGTGTTCCCAGCGATTTCTGTTCTTGTTTCAGATTTTATTTCTTCTGGTGCACGAACTACAAATAAACACTGCATGATACACACCTGGGTCCTATCATCTCTCGGTCCTTTGTCAGTGCTTGATCTGCAATCTCCTGAGATGTAAACTGCACAAATGCGTCGCCAGTGTTTCTACCCCAACGATCCTGAGTCATTGTTATTCCACCTTCTTTAATTTCCAGACCTGTGGTTAACAATGATTAACAGGGAGAATTAGGAAACACACCAACCCACTCCAATGTGATAAACCAAATTGGCAAATGATGTGGAAGAGCAAGGTGGAGCAAATATCTCCTCTATTTGACAAGGAACATTAAGTGAAATAAATTTTTCAGGGCTCTGGGACATCTTTCCGATGCGAAGGGCGCCTACTAGTGTAACGTGTTGTTGTAAATTTGAGCAGCCTCAATCTTAGGTACCAGTCAAAGAGGCCCAAAGAACTAAACTGCTGACAATTTGCCTCAAATCAGCACTACATTTTTAGATACAGAGCATCTATTTATGAGATGGTTGTGACAGCCTCACACTCGTTTGGGGAGGGGCAGGGGCTCACACTCAGGGGCTGACTGACAGTGAAGGGCTCAAAATCAGGGACTGACAGACAATGATGGGCTCATACTCAGGGGCTTTTATCTCACACAGGAGCTTTAGAATTGGAGAGACTTTCAACCCGAAGAGATGAATGGATAGTGGGATAACTCACTGTATCCCTTGAATTCACTGCCGTTAATTCTACTCCACAATAGTGCCCGGTGGCTCAGTAGGTAAAGTCACTGATCAGTGTGAAACTGAGCCATTTCAATCAGCACGGCAATGGGAGCACTACACTCGTGCTAGAGAAGGGGGGGAGAGAGAAGGAAAAAGGGAATTCAACCAGGGTTTCCACTATTTATCACCACCCAGTGGCATCAGCAGGACAGGAGCAGGGTTCTATGGTCCAGCCCACTGCAGAGACTCACCATAACATAACATGTAGGAGCAAAAGGCCATTCGGCCCTTCGATCCTGCCCCGCCATTCAATCATGGCTGATCTTCTAATCTAACTCCAGCTAATAACCTAACCCTGCCTTATCCCCATATCCCTTAATCCCTTTTGCAATAAGAAATATATCTATCTCAGTCTTGAATATGTTCAAGGACTGAGCGTCAACAGCCCTTTGGGATAGTGAGTTCCATACATTCACCACCCTTTGAGTGAAGAAGTTCTTCTTCAACTCAGTGCGAAAGGGCTGGCCTCTGATTTCAAGGTTGTGACCCCTGGTTTTAGTTTCTCCAACCAGGGGAAACAATCTCCCACTCTCTACTCTATCATGCCCTTTGATGATCTTATAGGTTTCTATAAGATCCCCTCTAATTCTTCTATATTCTAGAGAATATAGGCACAAATTGGTCAGCCTATCCTCGTAACTCATCCCCTTCATCCCTGGTACTAACCTAGTAAATCTACGCTGCACCCCCTCCAAGGCAAGTACATCCTTCCTTAAATGAGGAGACCAAAACTGCACACAGTATTCCAGGTGTGGTCTCACCAGGGCCCTATACAGTTGCAGCAAGACTTCCCTACTCTTATACTCTAATCCTTTCATAATGAATGCTAACATACCGTTCGCCTTCCTAATTGCTGCTGCACCTGCAGACTAACTTTCTGTGATTGGTGTACAAGGACACCCAAGTCCCTCTGGACGCTAACACATTCCAATCTCTCCCCTTCTAAAAAATAACCCGCTCTACTGTTTTTGCTACCTAGGTGGATGACTTTGCACTTCCCTACATTATACTTCATCTGCCACCTACCTGCCCAATCACCTAACCTATCTATGTCTCGCTGCATTTTTTTTAATGTCGCCCTCTGTGTTGACACTTCCTCCTAGTTTTGTGTCATCCGCGAATTTAGATATATTAACTTCGATGTCCTCATCAAGATCGTTGATGTAGATGGTAAATAGCTGAGGCCCAAGGACTGATCCTTGTGGCACTCCACTAGTCACATCCCACCAATCTGAAAAGGACCCGTTTATCCCTACTCTTTCATTTCCTACCCGTTAACCATTCCCCAATCCACGTTAATATGCTCCCCCCAATTCCATGGGCCCTTAACTTTTGGACTAACCTTTTATGCGGCACCTTATCAAGTGCCTTCTGGAAGTCCAAATAGACCACATCCACTGATTCACCCTTAACTAGTTTACTGGAAATATCCTCAAAAAACTCTATGAGATTTGTCAAACACGACTTCCCTTTTGTAAAGCCACGTTGACTTGGCCTAATTATATTGTGCTCCCCTAAATACCGCACTACCACATCCTTAATCAATGAATCGACCGTTCAGGCCCACGGATGAAGAATGACCATTTGGTCAAAGTCCGTGAGCCATATGTTCCCATAAGCTTGGCTCAGTGGCAGCACTCTCACTTCTGAGTCAAAAAGTTGAGGGTTCAAGCTCCACGTTGGGACTTGGAACTCGCATTGTCTAAGCTGACACTCCAACACAGTGCTGGGGGTGTGCTGCATTGTTGGATGTGCCGACTTTCGAATGAGATGTTAAACCAAGGTCCCATCTGCCTGTTCAGGTGGACGTTAAGTTCCCATGGTACTACTCAGTAAAAAAGGGACATTCTCCTGGTGTCATGGCTAACAAACCCCCAAATAAAATTTGCGTCATTCACTTCACGACTGTTTCTAGGACATTGCTGTGCACAAATTGGAGTCCGAGTTTGCCCACAAATACATATTCACACTTCATAGTAAATCCTGAAGTGATTTGGGACATCTTCCTAATGTGAAAACCTATACTAAAATGTAAAGATTATATTATTATACGGACAGAACTCTGTGTGTGTCTGTGTAGGGTGCGGCACGGGGTGTTAATAATGGATTTTTCATCCAAATTCTGGAGAGTGAATAGACCAACAAAAGACAGTGATAAATCCTTCCACAAACCTGAAAAGAACCGACTAATATCATCCTTGGTGCAACTGAAGGGAAGCCCCCTGAGACGCACAACACCATCTTCAGTCATTTCTTTCTCATTACAATGTAGGCGTTTTAGCATGGCCTCTACGTCACTGTTGCTCATTTGGAAAACTAAAGCAATGAAGAGAAAAGATTCACTCATTACATTTTTCAAGTAGCAATCATCGATAAAATTGGTGTTGAGCATTTTTCTCCCCACAACGTCGAAGACAAAAGATCTGGAAAGAGAGGTGGGTTTTGGGATGGGACACATTAGGGACTCTGCCAATCTCGCTCATATCACTGATTACAGAAGGAGGAGGATTGCAGTGACGAGTCTCACTCGGATTATTATTATTATTACAACAACAACAACTTGGGTTTATGTAGCACCCTCCGCGCCGGACGGCGTATCAGAGCGCTTTACAGTTTCGGATCCCGGGATCTCTAAAGAAGCACCTCACGGATTGCCTGGGCCTGTTTCTTGCTGTACAGTCTTTGTAAATCTGGGCAACACAGATCAATAATCCTTGAATTTGGTATAGCACCTTATGTCAAAAGGACGCCTCAAAACCTTTCACAGGATATACTTTGTCGGCAAATGCAACAGCCAAATTGCATACAGCAATGTCCCACAAGCAGCCATAAAACGAATGACCAATTATTTTAATGTGGAGGGATTTTAAGCCAGAACACCAGGGTGGGGGTCAAGGGAGGATTTAATGTCAAGGGCGCTAATCGATTGTTTAAGGAGGGATTGTTTTCTGTCCAAGGTACTTCAGACACTGAGGTTAATGCACCTTTGGAATTAACAGTTCACCTTTGTGATATCAAGAGATTCACCAGCAGCTTCACATTACATTCTGCTGATTGTCACATTATAGTCAGGTGGCAGGTTCCCTGCTATTTCAAAATAAAATCTGTTGCACGCCGTCATGCCGCATAAGGAAGCTCTTCTACTACAAGTGGAACGAGGATGTGAAAATAACTGAAAATCTTAAGCTTGCTGCCGGACTGTCGATTTAAAATGCTGCAACAACAAATAAGAATGGTGATATTTGGACAGTCAGTTACTCAGGTTTTACAAGAAATGCTTCAGAAACATCCAGCCCCTGATGGTGGATAAGGTATTCTGTGACTTGCTGTTAATGTACCTTCTATATAACGTGAACCCAGGTACTTTCTGTCTTTCTCCAGTGCCTTGTTAATATCTTCTTCAGATTCCATTTCGACAATTGCCTCTCCACTCGGCTTCCCAGCTTTTGTGCGCAGGAAGTGCACACCTTTAACACCGTTCATAACTCTACAATCTAAGAGAACAAGCAGTGCTGTAAGTATAAGTAATGCGAACACATGCCAAGCGACATCAGACAACACTCACCTGAGATCGAGCAACAGATCCTCATTCAACGAACGGTTTTCTTCATATTCAATACATTCAATTTTTTCACCTTTTTATTGTAACGTGCAATTAGGAACAATAAGACTAAATTCATTTCAGTTCCAGACACTATTATAAATGCAATCTTTTATATTCCAGCAGATTAAAGTTCTGCGTCTTACTTACTCTCTGTTACATCTTACATTGTAAGTGCCTCTTACAATTCTCAGGATTTTGAAATCTTTGTGAAATGATTTTTTTCTTGTCAAATTTTTCCCTTGCCCTCTCCTTTATTTTCCTTCTGCTGGGATACAGCCCCACTATCGCCCTCTGGTACCTCATCAGAGGGGTCATTTTTCATGTGCGAGCTTTGACAATGAGAGTTGATTCGACTGTGGGGAGAAGAGGGAGGGGGGTGGCAGAAAGAACAAATCTGTGATTGGGCTCTGACAGGAAGCACAATCACTGGCAAGTTCTTATCCACAGAGCAACTGCGGCAAAGTGTTTGGCTTTTGTTGATGTGGTAGGGCTGGGGATTGAATGTCCCAGTGAAAAGGCAAGGAAGGCATCTGCTCAATGGCACTGGGAATGATAGAGCGTTTGCCTTTGACCTCCAGCACATGCGCTTCACTCAGCATTATAGAAAATGGCTAGATACAAGAACTTACAGAGGATCCCGCAAATTGTGTTCCTTTTTAAAATAAACTAAAACGGGGCCGTGCTTCAAGGACAGCACTTAAAACAGTTATCATTTCTCTTAAGAAAAGATAACTGTTTAGGACTGAAATGTCACTCCCCCTGCTGTGCATCTCTGTTGCTCGGTACAAACAAGGGCTGATAAGACTCAAGGAAGTTTTAAATAACTCTTACAAACAGCACCTCACCACAAAACTGAAAGTACTGCTTTACAAATAAAACTCCCTCGCATACAACTTGAACAATGCAAGAAGCCTCAAGGAAAGCAAGTTAAATTAAGTACAAAGCAAACTTTTCTGCCCTTCTCTCATGCAAATCTACTAACTTGGGTGTTCAAAAACATCTTACCTGAGAAAAAGTCCAGCACATCTTCTACTGAGCAGGTCCAGGGAAGCCCCCTAGCACGCACCACAAATATCCGATTTTGTTCCATTTCTAATGCACCCACATCATATTCAGGAAGAGGAGGGTAGTCTTCCCCCTGGAAAGGCTGATATATGTCCTGTGCGAGATTCAAAATAATAAGGAACATAAAGTAACACATTACAAACAAAGGTGATACAAACAGGTTCGGCACAATCTTCCCATCAAACACTGCTCTCTGGAGCAACCCTGACAGCTGCTGCACGCCTGGCTGTTTTCTATGATAAACAGATGAAAAGAGAGTGTGAGCTGTCCCATACCTGCTCTGTTACCCCCGTGTATTCAATGTTGTACTTTTAAGTAACTGAGGTCTACAAATAACCATTTGTACTCCATGTTCTTCTCTTAGGGCCAACCAACAGTTAAGATTTCCAATTTCATAACTTTGTAATTCCTGACTAAAATAAAAAAATTGAAAAAGAAATTATAATATAATAATCCTTGCATTTGATATGGCGCCTTATCACTTCTTCAAGATGTCTCAAAGCGCTTCACAGAATATATTGCAAAGTGAATTCTCTTTATTTTGTGGGCAGAAATTATTATCTTTCTACACATACGAAAACCAAGGACAGCTCCAGCATGTTGTGTCCCAGAGTCCACAGCAAATGTTGTTCACAAGATAAGCTCCAACCTCAAATACCACAGGAATTGTGGAGCACCAGTGAGCCAGTTACACATCTACCACACTGGAGATCAGCTGCTATTAAATACTTATATTTCTGACTGCTCATTGTCTCACTGTCCTGGGAGGCATAGCGGTCCCCACTCTAGTGAGTGCTGCGACATACATCGTCTCAGCATCACTCGACTTTGTTTGGGAAGAAGACACGGTGGATCCCCATCACTGTGCTGTTGTATGAAAGGCTCACAATAACCTCCTTTACTGAACTACATCTCATTGGATCCAGTTAGTCTTCTGGAAGCAGCCAAAGATTGTTAGCATTCATCCAATGGGTACGACAAAGCTACATGGCAGAAGGGCTTAGAATACAGTAGAGCTTTAAAATCTACTTCACTCTGATCAAGGATTTGAAGTAAATAAGGGGCCCAAATGATCTCATACATTTTCATGTGTCGTGTTCTTTAGACTAATACCATTTACTTTATATTTCCACTGTATTCTTCCCTGAATCTAATCACTTGCTTTAAATCTACATTCAATACCATTTCTCACTTGTCAATCCAACAGCCTAATCTTTCAAAATGTCTCTTTTTTATTCTGTCTGTCTCCCATTTCCACATAATTCATCAATAGTTTTAATAACACTGGCTCTAGCACAAAATCCCTGAGAAATCCCTAGTACCTTCCTTCCATGCTGGTTTAGCTGTAGTTTCCTATGATCCTGACAATTTCTGATTCATTTCAGAAACCTCTCCCTCCCCAATTTGGTGCTTTCCATCCTTGTGGTCAAATCTCCTGTATGGCATTTATATATTGTATTTTCTGAGTATTTATAAACTGGAACATGCCATTACAACCCGATTCTGTACTTACTCCTATCATCATTACCTGTTTAAGAGCCTCAAGTTAGGCATTTGACACATCCAAGTCAAATTTGCTATGTCATTTTTTCTGAATGTGACCAGGCCTCATTCTATCTCCTCCTCAACTTCTCTGCGACAACTGACACTGTCCATCATTTCACTATCTTTCTTCCACTTCACGGCACCATATTTGCATGGTTCCATTTTTATCTATCCCAAATGCTTTACTACATCTCTTCCAATAGCTTCTTATTCTATACGCAAACAGATACCTGTTGCATGTATATGTCTCCGAGCACTTCACAGTGGCAAGGTTGGACGCCGAGCTGGAAGGGAGAGATGGCCACAGGCCCGGTTGAAGAGGAAGGTTTTAAGGTGGGACTGGAGACAGATACAGGGAGGCTACATGGAGGGGTATAAACAGGGAGTTCTAGAAGTTAGGGGCCAAATGACTGACAGCTCAGTTCCCGATAGTGGCGTGGGGAGGATGCACAGCAGACCTGTATTACCTGAGTGGAGGAGAAGCAGACGAGTGGGGTTCAGAGCTACATATATATGCTGAACTAAACTCTATGTGTATTTCACTAACCTTGATTTCTGAATATTTCTAAATGACTACCTGCTTGCCTTCATTGAACCATGCCTCTGCCTCTGGAAGTCTCTTTCCATCGCATGTTGCTATGTTACGTAATTTAATTGACTTCATCGATATTTGTAAGATAATGTTGTGCCAAATTAGCGGCTGAGGTTGCCCATAAAATGCAGTCAAATCACTTTGTAGCATATCCTGTGAAGCACTTTGAGACGTCCTCCTGACGTGAAAGGTGCAATGTCAAATGAAAGGATTACAATATTACTCTTTCGCTCTAAGTCTTCAAAAACCTCCTTGAAAACACCTCTTTAAACTGTTTTTCATTAACACCTTTAAACTGCTCATTTCCTGGCTTGGTGTTCGCCACTTTGTTGGTAACGTTCTTCGAGATATTATTTCAGATGAAAAACTCTGTATAAAACAAAGTTCTTGTAACAGTAACCCTCCACATCAGCAGTAAGTGTAAGAAAGCATGACACAAACCTAAATACTTTTTGCATAGAAGGAAGCCAACAATAAACCCATTGTGTCCGTGTGGGGAGCCGCTTGGACGGACGGACCTCTTGCTTTGTCTGACAGAGTTAACAATGGCTATAGTCGTACTCTTCCACCCTAACAAACGAATGGCACCTCACTTTCTTGGGAACGCCAACCCGGAGTCTCTGCCCAACTCCTCCAATTGGACCAGTTCACACCCAGTTGAGCTGGGGTTTTGTCGCACGAGGTGTGAAAAAACAACTTTGGGCGGGTGCCTAATTTTTTAAAATTTATTGTTCATTTAAACCTGCAAAACATGTTTGGTTTTCCCCTTTGAAGACCTTCTCTTAGTTTCAAAAAGCACTGAACCGAAATTGATCACTCTCCTACCCATTGTAGGTGACATATAACATCAGGCTACTTTTGGGGGGTAGTATTTGGTGGACTTTGGGGCTAGAAATGCATTTCAATTTGTGGCAACCCTGTTTAAGACTGGTCTTAATCCTCATTAATCCAATAAATTACTCCAGTATTGCCAGCATCAGGAATTGTGGCGAGTTCATTTTTTTTAAAAATAATGTGTCTCACTCCCCTGCTTTTTTTCCCCCACCTCCACACACACACACACACCACACCCTCTCCCCTCTGGACATCCCCTTTATATTTTCTCTGACAACTTTTTTTTGCTCCATTTTGGCTTATGAAACACAGTCACCCCATTAATTACCACCTCCCACCCACTCACCCGCACACACCCCAACATCTTCACTCCCCCTCCCACCTTCACCCCATTCACCCCTCCCACCTTCACCCCCTCCCACCTTCACCCCATTCACCTTCACCCCCTCCCACCTTCACCCCCACACCTTCACCCCCACACCTTCACCTCCACACCTTCACCCCCACACCTTCACCCCCTCCCACCTTCACCCCCTCCCACCTTCACCCCATTCACCCCCTCCCACCTTCACCCCATTCACCCCCTCCCACCTTCACCCCATTCACCCCCTCCCACCTTCACCACTCCCACCTTCACCTTCACCCCATTCACCTTCACCCCTCCCACCTTCACCTTCACCCCATTCACCTTCACCCCCACACCTTCACCCCCCCACCTTCATCCCCTCCCACCCTCATCCCCTCCCACCTTCACCCCATTCACTCCCTCCCACCTTCACCCCCACACCTTCACCCCATTCACCCCCTCCCACCCTCATCCCCTCCCACCTTCACCCCATTCACCCCCTCCCACCTTCACCCCCACACCTTCACCCCATTCACCCCCCTCCCACCCTCATCCCCTCCCACCTTCACCCCCTCCCACCTTCACCCCATTCACCCCCTCCCACCTTCACCCCCTCCCACCCTCACCCCCTCCCACCCCCTCCCCCTCCCCACCCTCCCGGCCTGGGGCCCGGGTGTCTCCCCGCTGCTCTGACCTGCTGTTGGCCGCTGGCGGGGCCCCGGCTCTGGCTGTGGCTCTGGCTGTGGCTCCAGCACAGGCCCAGGGCCCGCCTCTGGCTGGCGGGGCGCGGGGCGGCGGCGCGGGGCGTGTGTGTGAAGGCGCGGGTCAGCAGGCGCAGGCTCAGCACGCGGGCCCGGCAACCGCTCACGGCCATGGAGACCCCGCGGGCTGACAGGCCACAGCAGGGCCGCGCCGACCGGCAGCTTAACACAGCCCAGCACACAGCGGGCACCCGACAGAGAGGCTCCCTCCACACACAGCGCCCCCTACAGACACTCCACACACAGCGCCCCCTACAGACACTCCACACACAGCGCCCCCTACAGACACTCCACACACAGCGCCCCCTACAGACACTCCACACACAGGGCCCCCTACAGACACTCCACACACAGCGCCCCCTACAGACACGCCACACACAGCGCCCCCTACAGACACGCCACACACAGCGCCCCCTACAGACACGCCACACACAGCGCCCCCTACAGACACGCCACACACAGCGCCCCCTACAGACACGCCACACACAGCGCCCCCTACAGACACGCCACACACAGCGCCCCCTACAGACACGCCACACACAGCGCCCCCTACAGACACTCCACACACAGCGCCCCCTACAGACACTCCACACACAGCGCCCCCTACAGACACGCCACACACCGAGAGACAACACTCCACACACAGCGCCCCCTACAGACACGCCACACACAGCGCCCCCTACAGACACTCCACACACAGCGCCCCCTACAGACACTCCACACACAGGGCCCCCTACAGACACTCCACACACAGCGCCCCCTACAGACACTCCACACACAGCGCCCCCTACAGACACGCCACACACAGCGCCCCCTACAGACACTCCACACACAGCGCCCCCTACAGACACGCCACACACAGCGCCCCCTACAGACACTCCACACACAGCGCCCCCTACAGACACGCCACACACAGCGCCCCCTACAGACACTCCACACACAGCGCCCCCTGGAGACACGCCACACACAGCGCCCACTACAGACACTCCACACACCGAGACACACCACTCCACGCACAGCGCCCCCTACAGACACGCCACACACCGAGAGACAACACTCCACACACAGCGCCCCCTACAGACACGCCACACACCGAGACAACACTCCACACACAGTACCCCCGAGACACACCGCTTCACACATAGCGCCACCTAGAGACACGACTCCACACACACAATCCCTGGAGATCCACTCCACACACTGCGCCCCGTAGAGACACTACACATAGCGCCCCCTAGAGACACCACTCCAGGTACACATCCCCCAGAGACACCACTCCACACATAGCACCCCCCCCCACCCGGGACCCTCCACACACAGCATCCCCCGCACCAGAGACGCTCCACACACAGCACCCCCTACACGCACACGCACACACTTTCCACACAGAGCTCTCCTTCTGGTCAGGATGGACTTGATGCCCTTGTTCCATTAGACAATTGGATTATTCCTTACTCCCTCTCTCCGTCCCTTCCCGGCCTCCCTCCCCACTTCCAGATCCCAGCTAAAGACCTTCCTTTTCGATCGTGCTTGTGGTCACCTCCCCTTCCCCCCCGGCTCGGGGTCAGACTCCACCAATGCCAAGCGCTCCGGGACGCTACCCCGGGTGAAGGGCGCGATGTGAATGCACGTTGTTGTTGACACATCACCCAGGACTGCTGCTGTGAGAGGCCCCTGCCCTGCCCTGCCCTGCAGTCCCTGATGCCACTTCCAACAAACTGCAGACCTGCACTTGTGACAGCCGGACCACCTGCACACTTGTGCACGGCAGCAGCAGCAGTATTGCCACTCCTGCCCTGCTCATAAAACAGATTGCCACCTTTCGTGCGTTTTGAACATTTTAACGATAAACAGAGTTAGGGTTAACAGCACAGCGATGCCTGACTCAATGCATTGAACATGGGACTCATGTCCTGAAAAGACCTTATATTGGACAGGAGAGGAGGAGGGGGAGGGGGGGGGGAGAAGGAAGGAGTGATGTGTGAGAGCGGATATGGGTGTCAGAGAGGGAGGGCCCTGAGCAGAAGGAGAGGCAGTGTAGGGAGGAGAGATGGTGTGTGTGTGTGTGTGGAGGCTGTGACTGACTGACTGACTGAGAGGAGGTGTGTGTGTGTGTTTGTGTGAAGAGAGCGCTGTGAGGGAGGGAGTGAGTGAGTGTGAGGGAGTGAGTGAGTGTGAGGGAGGGTTGTGAGGGAGGGAGTGAGTGTGAGGGAGGGAGGGAGGGAGTGTGAGGGAGGGAGGAGTGTGAGGGAGGGAGTGAGTGAGTGTGAAGGAGCGTTGTGAGGGAGGGAGTGAGTGTGAGGGAGGGAGGGAGTGAGTGTGAGGGAGGGAGGGAGTGAGTGTGAGGGAGGGAGGGAGTGTGAGGGAGTGAGTGAGTGTGAAGGAGGGTTGTGAGGGAGTGAGTGTGAGGGAGGGTTGTGAGGGAGTGAGTGTGAGGGAGGGAGGGAGGGAGGGTTGTGAGGGAGGGAGGAGTGTGAGGGAGGGAGTGAGTGTGAGGGAGGGAGGGAGTGTGAGGGAGCGGTGAGGTGGTGACTGGGAAGGTCAGGGCTGTGGTCAGGTGTCAGGTGGCGGCTGTGGGGGCGCGAGGTTTCCCCTCCGGGAACGGCCCATTGTTGCCGACACTCCGAACGCTCCGGACCCGCGACCGCATCCAACCATGAGCTTCCTGTTGTGAGTACAGAGGATCAATACCCGACTGTCAATACCCTTTGTGACCAATGCCCCGACTGACCAATGCCCCGACTGACCAATACCCCGACTGTCAATACCCCGACTGACCAATACCCCAACTGACCAATACCCCAACTGACCAATACCCCAACTGATCAATACCCCAACTGATCAATACCCCGACTGACCAATACCCCAACTGATCAATACCCCAACTGATCAATACCCCGACTGACCAATACCCCGACTGACCAATACCCCGACTGACCAATACCCCGACTGACCAATACCCCGACTGACCAATACCCCGACTGACCAATACCCCGACTGACCAATACCCCGACTGATCAATACCCCGACTGATCAATACCCCGACTGATCAATGCCCCGACTGACCAATGCCCCGACTGACCAATGCTCTGACTGATTAATAACCCTACTGATCAATAACCTAACTGATCAGTACCCTTTGTGACCAATACCCTGACTGATCAATAACCACTGATGGACCAATAACCGCTGACCGATCAATAACCGCTGACTGATCAATTTGTGTGTCAGTCTGGTTCTGATTTCGAAGATTCAAGCCTTCCATCCAGTGCTGGGGGTGCGATGCATTGTCGGAGGTGCCATCCTTCGGGTGAGATGTTAATCCGAGGTCACAGCTGTGTGTTCAGGTGGATGTTAAAGATCCCGTGGCACTATTCAAAAAAGGAAGGGAGTTTCTCCTGGTGTCCTGGTTAACAATCCCCCAAATAAAATTGGGTTACTCACTCCATGACAGTTTGTGGGTACGTTGCTTATGTGCAAAGTAGCTGCCGTATCTACCCTCGAAATACAGAGTCGCTACACTTTGCAGTAAATGCTACAAAGGGTTTTGAGAGGCCTTATGACGTGAAAGGTGCCACATCAAATGAAAGGATTATTATTATCATTAATAACCCTCACTGATCGATAGCCCGCTGATGGAGAGTGACCCGCCAAGGGAGCGATCTCCCTCTCCCAAAAAGAGTGATAACTTCCTGACGGATCAATAACCCTCTTATCAATCTATCCTATTCATGTTTGACCAACAACACCTAAACGATCTGTCACCCTGGTTTCCCCCTTCCGAATTATTGGTGATATTCACTCAGCAGCCTGTCACGTTGTATCCTTTTTTCAATTATCTTAAGGCTGTTTCTGGGTACTGTAACTTTCTTTGCCTCTGGATAACAGTGTCGTTAAAATGGTGGTGAAGGTTTGACTTGTAATGTTTTCACCCCAGTCTCTTGCCCTGCATCAGTTTAAACATCATTGAAGGGTACAATGAAAATAGTCCTTAATTTGCCCACACTAAGCCGCAGTAAGTGGTGCAGAGCATCGTTCACAAACTGATTTATAGAAGAGTTTATAGCACGTTCCAGGATTGTTTAAAGCTGTTTCACTCTGCAGCTTTGGATGCATTTTCTGAAGTGGAAGTGTTTTTCTGCTTTACTTAAACAGTCTGAACAAACTTGAATTTCCTTTTACAGACTCAATTCATTTTAAACTGGAGCCTGTTTCCCTATTACAAATATAGAATCATAGAATTATACAACACAGAAGGAGGTCACTCGGCCCATTGGGTCTGTGCCGGATCTTTGAAAAGAGCTGCCCAAATCAATCGCTCTCTCCCCATAGCCCTGCAAACTTGTCCTCCCTAAATAATTATCTATCCAAATATGCTGCAATTCAACAGCTGAAAATCTGAGACGTGCCCTTGCATGTATTTTAAGGGCTGCTTACTGTTTATAGGGGAGAGGAGGGAACAAGCTCATGATACGCAGATGCTTGCTATTCCAGAGACACGAGTGATAGCATTTGGGTAGGTTGTGGTTGTCCATCGCAGCCTCCTGGCTGACAACCCTTGGCACGTAATATTGGACCAATTGTTCATGTTGTGGCTGCATATTAGCCAGGCCATGAACCACTGGCTCAATATTACATGCCATCTGTGTGCCTGCGGAATAAAGGCTGCAGGAACGAGGGTCACTGCTTGTTGTTAAAAGGAGTTAAAATATCTAAATAGCTATTTTTTTCAATTACTGCAAGTAGGGATTAGGTTAATGCAATTAAGAAAGCTTTAAGTAAAAAATAACCCACTGCACCTCTGCTTCATTTTGAAGTGGGATTCAATCCCAATGTTTGTTCTCCGTACCAGTGAGAATTTGTAGAATAATAATCCTAATAATAATAATCTTCTCACAACCAATTTTATTTGGAGGACTTTTGGCCAGGACACCAGGAGAAACTCCATTCTCTTTTCGAAAAGTGCCACGAGATCTTTAACTTCCACCTGAACATGCAGACAAGACCTCGATTTGATGTCTCAATGTCTTTAACGTATGATGCATCTGTAAATCTGTGGCTTTTTTTGGACAGTTGTCTCCCTCTCCCTCTTCTGAACGTCTCGGGCGCTGTCAGCATCAGCTTCCATGGCTGCACACTCAACCTCACTAAGCCAGTCAGGAACCTGGGTGTCTTGTTTGACCCTGAACTGTCCTTTTTCCCCCACATCCGCGCCATGACCGGCACTGCCTACCACCACCTCCGCAACATTGCCAGACTCCACCACTGCCTCACCCCTCAGGCTGCCGAAACCCTCACCCACGCATTCGTCACCTCAAGGCTCGATTATGGAAATTGTCTCCTCATCGGCCTTCTCAACTCCTCCCTTCACAAGCTGCAGGTCATCCAAAACTCTGCAGCTCGTGTACTCTTGCGCACCAGGCTCCGTAACCCCATCACTCCCACCCTCGCTCGACTCCACTCGCTCCCCAACTCTCAGAGGATCGAATTCAAGATCCTCGTCCTCACTTTCAAGGCCATCCACGGCCTTGCCTCCTCCTGCCTCTCTGACCTGCTGACTCCCTACCAACCTGCCCGCTTTCTCTGTTCAGCGGGCTCCGGTCTGCTCCTTGTCTCCCGCCCGACCCGCCCTACCAAATTAATTTTACAGTATATTCTGTGAAGCGTATTGAGACGTCTCAACGACATAAGGTGGTATATCAGTGCTCTTTTGCTAGAAACAATGTGAAACGATGGCTCTGTACTCAAAAGTGTGAGCCCTGGTTATTCGGTTCAATTGTTGAATTCTCATTCCCTCTCCTGGTTTTCCCCAGGTACTTTTAAGACCTACAGAAAACAGGTTCCCAAATTTAAATCTGGATTGAATAATTTGCCAAAATTCTGCACTGTCTGGATTGTTGAGAAGTTTAAGTCTAACATCAGGGGAATTTCTGGCCCAGTGGACAGTCAGGAAGGCTTTCAAGCATACTTAAACTCCCATCAATTGTATTTGTATTGTATTTGCTGTTGTTTTCAAAGCATTTTTTCTGTTGCATGGGGGACGGAGGGTGGTTTAAAAATTGAACCTGCCTGGAAATGTGCTACACAGCATACACCGTTTGTGCTGAATTAGGTGATTTCTGCCAGGACAGCAGTTTGGGTGCTACAAAAACAATAACTTGTGTTTATACATTGCCCTCATAATGCTGATTGGTTTTGGTGTCCCAGGGTTAGGAGGGATAACAAGTCAGGTTTCCCAATCCTGTTCACTCTCAGGTGGTGTCAGCCTGGCTCAGTTGGCTGCAATCGTGCCTGTGAGTCAGATGGTTGTCAGTTTAAGCCCTGTGTTGGGATTTGAACTCCAATAGTCTGAGCCGAGACAGCCCTGAGCTGGGGTGTGTTGCATTGCTGGAGGTGCCACCCTTCGGATGCGATGTCGAATCAAGGCCACACAGACAAAGATCGCATCGCATTATTCAAAAAGACTCTAAACTGATTGGCTGGGATTGCCGGGATGCCCTGTTGCTTATTCCTGATAAATGTATTAATTTCTTCCAGTGTGTCCCTCTCCTTTCTGTCCTGATCTGGGCTAAAATTAATTTCCGCGACCTGAATTTGGGCGATAGGGAAGCCTAGCCTTGCTCTCCTTACCAAGGACTGCAGCTGTTTAGTTGCAGTCTTTGGCTGCTGGCTCCGGTTATGGATGCCTTTTGAGAACATGACTTTCCAGGTTTTGAGACATCTACATGATGTGGGAAGTCACTACAGCAACAACAAAATTACATTTGTATAGCGCCTTCCATATCGGGAGGACGTCCCAAGGCACTGGACAGACAGAGTTACGGACCCGAGCTGGGAGTTGGGGTGGGGCAGGGGGGAAGCAGGGAGATCAAAAGCACAATTGAAGAGGAGGGTCTAAGAGATGGGTCTTGGAGGTGGCGAGTGAGGGGTCGAGACAAAGGGACTGCGGGATGGAGTTCCAGAGGGTGGGGGCAGAGTGGCGGAAGGCCCACCCACCAATAGTGGGGCGAGTGAGGCGGAGGACGTGAAGCAGGCCGGAGCCCGCTGAGCGGAGGGAGAGAACAAGATGGTAGGGGTTAGGAGGTTATAGAGGTAGGTACTATATCAAAAGCAAGGATTATTGTTATAATGGTGCACAAGAGGACCCCACACGTGCGCACACAACACAAACTCTCAGTTGATGTTTTTCTCCAGTATTGCATGCTAGCCCCACCAGGTGCAGTCCATCAACATGGGTGGGACCAGTGGAGAATTGAACAAGTGGGAGTCCTGTAGCATATTGGTTAGAGCACTCACCTCACAAGCGAGAGGACCCAGGTTTGATTCCCGGGCAGGCTGAAACGTTAGGCAAGTTTCTTTATTCTACAGGCCTCTGTTTATCTAGTAGTAAGTAGAAACCCTGTTGTTAGTCAATTGTTGGATTGCTTTCCAGAAGTAATAATCCCTCCAAATAAATAAATAAGAATAATTTGGTCACTCAATCCATGGCTGTTTGTGGGACACTGCTGTTTGCAATTTGCTACAGCGTTTTGCCCACAAACTATATAGTGAAGTCACTTCACAGTATATTCTGTGAAGTGCTTTGAGACGTCTTGATGATGTAATAAGACACTATATCAAATGCAAAGGTTATTATTATTATGCCCAGATTGTGCAGTCAGTCCCCAATTCCCTTAGGCAGTGTACAGCCATAGATCTGATGGACTTGTGATCCTGGGAACAGGAAGATCGTTGCTGGTTTATCGATCCACATAAAATAGATTCAAAATAATGTATGGTTTTGACAGAGTAAATAGAGAAGGGCTATTTCCACTAATCGGCAAGTCAGTCACAAATGTGCACATGCAAGGATTGTTTTTAAGAGGGTCTAAAGTGGGGTTTATTACCAGAACACAAAGAGCATGCTTGTAAGAAATTTTTTACATTGTTTGACTCTGGAATGAATTCCTCACCACAAATGGCTGTCGAAACTGAATCAATAACAGCATTTAAAAGAGAATTGAATGGATACTTGAGGAAACTAATTTTGATAAGTACGGGAAAGAGCAGAGGGAATGGTATTCGAGCAGATCACTGCAACGGGGGAGCCAGCACACTCACAATGGCCCTTTTTGCCTCCTTCTGATACCCTGTTGCTGAATCAATATGTCTGGTGTTTTAATGGAGGAGAGGCTGGCTGACATTGCTGAATCTTATCCCTCTTCAATTTACATTCAGCAGTGTGGTCCACAATAATCATCCTTACATTGAATACAGCAGCTTTCATGTTGGCAGGGATGTCTCAAAGTGTTTCACAAGATTTAATGTAAGGTGTAGTGATTGTATTTTGTAGGGGAACTCTAATTTGCATGCAACACTGTCCCACAAACAACCATACAGTGAATGCCTAACTTTATCTGGGGGATTATTGGCCAGGATACCAGGAGAAATGTTTTCGACTACTGCCGTGGGATCTTGAATGTCCACTTGAACAGTCAGATGGGACTTTCGTTTGAATGTCTCATCTGAAGAATGCCACCTCCAACAGCACTGCGCTGGAGTGTCAGCCTAGACTATGTGAGTTCAAAGTGCTGATGGGGGGCTTGTACCCACAACCTTCTGACTCGGAGGCAAGAGTGCTGCTAACTGAGCCAGGCTGACACACAGTGCTTTTGTTGGGTGAGTTTATTTGTTCTAAGAAACAGCAATAGAAATGCTGGAGGGAGGGAATAGAGCATACAGGCTTTCAGTTTGTCAGAGTGAATAAACAAATGGAGTTAGTGAACCTGCGTCTCCATGTCACAGCTGGTACTGTAGCTGCCAGGGAAGCAGATATCTGCAGTTGCTGCATTCAAATGGACTGAGAAAGGGGATTCCTTTTTCCTTTGTGAAAAGTGTTCTTCATATCAAGGGATTTGTGCCAGCGTTGTCTAGATAGTGGTGTGCTATTGCTTGACCCACCCCCATCCTAATACTAACTCTGCCACCTTGTGCCATTTATACCATTTCTCACTGAGCAGAATGGATCAGGTGGACGTGTGAGTCATCTGAAGGTTTCCTATTTGACTACAGTACTTTGTTTGCATCCCATGCTGAGTTAACACTGAAAGAAAGTGCCTAGAAATGTACCCGATCTGAGCCCGAGAAGGTAACACGAGCCAATCTAACAGGCGTATGCAGACGGCGGCACATACACAGGCAGTGGTGTATGTACAGTTTGGGAGTCTAATAATAGCGTTAACTAATAATAATAATCCTTGTATTTGAACTAGCGCTTTATCACGTCATTGATAAATCTCAAAGCACTTCACAGAATATATTGTAAAGTGGAGTGACTATATTTTGAGGGCAAAATGTGATAGCCAATTACGCACAACAATGTCCCACAAGCAGTCATGGATTTGGCTATCACATTTATTATTTATTTTGGGAGTGATTATTACCCCAAAAGAGATTCTCCAATCGACTAATAGCCTATGGGAGTAGCGGGATCTACCGAGGCAGTGGTGACTATAGGAGTAGTGATGTATATATGGGGATTAGTTTGAATCTCTATCTCTTCAAAGTGAAGGTTATGTGTAACAGCTTGAGTGTGTGCCTGTGTTGCGTTGCTGCTCTTAAACTACAGCCATTTCTTGTTTTTGCATCGGAAGCCGTTCATCGAAGACGTTTAAGCCAAAGAAGAACATTCCGGAAGGGTCCCATCAGTATGAGCTCTTGAAGCATGCGGAAGCTACACTGGGCAGCGGCAATCTGCGAATGGCTGTCATGTTGCCCGATGGCGAAGATCTAAATGAATGGGTCGCAGTCAATAGTAAGGGTTAAGTTTGTCTTTCAAAACTGCTCATCGTGTACAATTGGTGCAGTCTCTATCATGTACAATCTGAGCAGTCTCTTTGACTTCAGATTCTTTGGGAGAGAAATTCTACCTTGTTCTTAGTGGCCCCCACTCTTTCTGTTTTTTTGTCCTGCCTCAAAACTTAACTCTTTGAATGATTCTGGGGCCACCTCCCTCGGTTCCCTCTCTCTTACTTGGTGTATAATCCCAGTCTTATAAAAATCTCCAAGACATAACCCGATTGCGAAAGATGCTGTATAAATGAACGTTGTTATTGTTGTACTCAACAGGTTGACTCTGTTATAAAGCAGTGGTTTGAGGCTATAAACTGAGACACCACATTTTAATGCTGTCTATCCTCTTTGGGGGAGAGGTAAGCGGGATCTCCATGGAGCTGAACTGGCTGGAATCGAGAATGTCGGAATCGAGCCAGCTCACTGTGGCGGCCTCGGTGGTCCGGGTCATTGCTGATATCACTTACTGCTTGCATGTGCATGGCCAGTTCCTCGCCAGTGAGCGTAGTAAACCAGACGTGTACTGACTTCAGTCAGGTCCACGACATGACTGTGCTATATCGGAGCATGTTACAAAGGGGTATTTTCATAGGATTTCAAAGTGTGTGCAGAATTTGCTTAATTGTTGAATTTAGCCTTAACTTTGATCATGTTTTTCTTGTTAAAATAATTCCACCAATTGCTTCTCCTCTAACCCTCGCACCAAATAAAATCCACACGCCCAAACAGAAAATAATTTACTTTTGTAAGGGCTCCTTTTTAATATTTACATGCTCTCGCTCGGGGATATAAGAGTTGGGCAACACCCAACTCTTATCTCTCTGCCTCCACCTTCGCCCCAGGACCTCTGCTGTCCTGATGGATTGTCTGTCAGACATCCAAGACAATACCCGCTTGCTCTCTGATCCCAACCCACAGCTCAGGTGCAAATCCCTCATTGTCAAGCGGCCTGGGATGTACTCCTGACATGAAAGGCATTATATAAGTGCAATTGTTGTTGTTTGTGAAATTCTGCCTGGCTTAAAATGCTATAGAAAGATTTGGGTGGAATTTCTACCTGTACTTGATACAAGGGCAGAATGTAAATTCCTTTCTGTTTGGGTGTGTGGATTTTATTTGGACAGCCGGGTGTCTGACACAACCCATCACCATGCTTAAAGAGTATTCAAACCGGACAGAGAATTCCACATATATATGGATCACTATCTAGTGTAGATGATAAGCAAGAAAACAAATCATCAATCCCCAAATAAAATTGGTCATTCATTTCATGGCTGTTTGTGGGATATTGTTATGCACAAAATTGGTGTTTGCCTACAAATCACACAGTCACTGCAATTCACAGTATATCCTGAGAAGCGCTTTGGGATATCCTCCAATGTGGAAGACGTTATACCAAATGTAAGGATAATTACTGTCAACAATAAGAAATGTGTACCTATTTTGGAAGGAAAGAGAGCCTCATCATCCAGCTGATCTTGTACCCAGGTCATCAGTTACCCCAAAAATGTTTAAGTTGCTGCTTTTTAAAAACATGCCGGTTTTCTATATGTTCTTTTAAGAATTAAAAAAAAACTGCACTTGAAATCTCCTTCTACTAATATTAATATAGCCACTTGTATGTTTTGTTTTTAAACAGCTGTGGACTTCTTTAACCAGATCAACATGCTGTATGGAACAATAACGGACTTCTGTACTGAGGAGAGCTGCCCCCTCATGTCAGCTGGGCCAAAGTGCGTCACAGGTTTCAAAGTTTCAAGTTCAGTGCCTGTTCTCTGCTTTCTTACTGAACTATTTTCTATGCCTGTCACTATCTGAGGGTCTGTTTGCTGAGCAGCACCCTAAGAGGCTATCTTGTGTGAAGAGCTCTATGTAAATGCAATTTGCTGTTGAGTAGGCCATGCAAAATTAATTATCGTTTTGCCCAAGTCAAACAGTGGCACAAACTTTTAGCAGAGATTTACTGAGCAAAGTGCCAGCGATCTGCAAGAGCAAGCTGTTTACTTTAATGGGAATGTTGGCTTATCTGAGCTTGAACAGTATCTGGTGTCTGAATGTTTTACTCTGTTTTTGCACTGACTTCAGGGTGTGAGACAGCCAGCAAAGTGACTATTTCAGTTGCATATGTTTCATCGCTGAGCAGGAGGCAGCAAACTATCTTTTCACCTCTTGTCAGATTGCTGCATGCGCTGTGATTCTGCGGGGTTTCATTTCTTCTGACGCTCTAATTTACACTTGTTATTTTCCCCCGAGGTTTGAGAATGGGGAACCTTGGTGCAAAAATCGTAGTTTTTCAGTACAGAAGGAGGTTGTTTGATCCATTGTCTATGTGTTGCTTCTCTCGTTCAGTCTGTCTCTCTTGCTTTTTTTCTCCTCTCCCCCCACCCCCCATTTTAATTTATATTATTCCTTATCAGATGTTTGTCTGATTCCCCTTTGAAACCTTTTGGGACACTGTTGTGCGCAATTGGCTGCCGTGTTTGCCCACAAATATACAGTCAATTCACTTTACAGTGTGTTCTGTGAAGCGCTTTGGGACGTCCTCCCGACGTGAAAAGCGCTATATCAAATGCAAGGATTATTATTATTATTACAGTATATTCTTTAAAGCGCTTTGAGACATCTCGAAGATGTGAAAAGTGCTATTTATAAACCTATTCTGCTTCTAATTTGCATCTGAATGAATCAACACTTTCTGCTTCCACCACCTCCCTGTCCTTATAACCATCGATATATGTGAAAAAGAATTTGCCCTATTGGAAATAGAATTATTTTTATTTTATTTATTTTTTTATTATTTTTGTGTTTTATTGTGTTGGAATATGAAGGTTAATATAAAAGTTGGATAATGTATGTAGTGACGATTAACTGGTTGTCTTGTATGACTGGAATGGTTCTCTCTTTCTTGCTGTTCATCTAGGTATGAGTATCACTGGGCTGACGGAACAAATATTAAGAAACCCATCAAATGTTCGGCACCAAAGTACATTGACTACCTGATGACCTGGGTACAAGATCAGCTGGATGATGAGGCTCTCTTTCCTTCCAAAATAGGTACACATTTAAATCAGACCATTCCAATATCAAAATCATAATCCTTTCAATTAATATATCACCTTTCATGTCAGAAGGCCATCTCAAAGCCCTTTGCTGTATATTGTAGTGACTGTATCTTTTGAGGCCAAACACAACAACTATTTTGCACATAGCGATGTACCCAAGAGTGCCATGGATCTCTAATGCCCACCTGAACACACAGACAAATAACAATAACAAATTGCATTTATATAGCAGCTTTCACATTGGGAGGAATGTCCCAAGGTACTGGATAATCAAGGATTTGCCCCCGAGTTGGGGGTTGGATCATTGGAAGAGAAAATATATTCTTTCTAAAAAAAGAACTAATCGTTTGTCTTCCTCCACGCCTGCTCGCACAATGATGTGTTGGGATTCACAGTGTGTGTGAAATATTGTTACCACGAGGGCATTGCGGTGACGGGTTATGTATGCTTTCTCCACAGGTGTTCCTTTCCCAAAGAATTTTATGTCGGTGGGGAAGACGATCCTGAAACGCCTGTTTCGTGTGTACGCCCACATTTACCATCAACACTTTGACTCTGTGATCCAGCTGCAGGAAGAGGCCCACTTAAATACCTCCTTCAAGCACTTTATCTTCTTTGTTCAGGTAGGAATGGCCCAGGCGGAATGGTTGTAAGACGAATCCAGGTTCAGTGAATCAAAAGAAAGACCAAGGAATTCATTGACATCCATCCTTAAGGACAAATGTGTGCACGCATCTTACATTGCAGAACCTGATGCCTGTATCTTGGTTTATCTGGGAGTCGGAGGGTTGGAGGCAGGGAGTTGAGGCTATAACCTAAAGCAATGTGGAGACTAGGGAAATGGGATGTGTAGATAGATATACAGAGGCATCCTCACTCACATCAGTGGTGAACAACCTCTGCTGGCCAGATGGACCCCAATGGCCCTGTACATTCCTGTGTAACTGCTGGCATTGGCTGACCAGCTTGGAGCTTTATTTTGGTGTCAGATACCTGCATGGGACGTGCAAATGCGAAACTGCTTTTTGTGTACATAGTGAATTTCGGGTACAGCGCAAGTACGTTCAGGAATTGTGTCTCAATGCTGCTTATCTTTCATTTTCAGGAGTTTAACCTCATAGACAGGAGAGAGTTGGCTCCACTTCAGGAGTTGATCGAGAAACTAACTACAAAAGACAGATAAACAGGAAGTGGACAAGGACAAACACAGTCTCGTCATTATTCTTCAAGGCATTTTTTTTCCTTTAAACTAGCACAGTGCTGGTTTGTATGAGCAGCCTGGCTAATCCTGAGCTGGCGTTGACAAAAACTTGACTTCTTATTTGAAGGCTTCAAAAAGGATGGTGTTGGTAGGTGTTACAGGACTTCATTTAGACGGGAGGCTTGTGTGTGGTGAACTATGTACTTGGGATGGCCTAAGGCATCACGAGGCCTAAGATCCTCGTATACCCATTGGATGTGCAATTCATTGTTGGCACCCAGTAGAAGATACATTATATCCAAGTAAGTGCCTGAACTGCTTCATCACGTGGACTTAGATGGGTTGGCAAAGCAACATTGCATTCTGGGCTTGACACTGCTGGACTAGAAAGCTTTCAGTCGAAAAAATAGGTTTGTTTCTCAAAGCTTCTCACTGAGAAAAGGCTGCTGGTTCCTTAGATGCTCCCTGCAGGGTATTTTTGACCACTCTATACTAAGGGGTAGAAATTCCACATGAGTCTATATTTAGTCAATTGGCTAAGCACTTCAGAGCTTGTAGAAAGCGGTATATCAATTACAAGGATTATTATTCAGTCTTAATAATCCTTGTAATTGGTGTAGCGCTTTCACGTCGGGAGATGTCCCAAAACGCTTCACAGGATTTACTGTAAAGTGGGGTGACTGTGTTTTGTGGGCAAATGCTTCAGCTTTCAAAAAACTGGCATTAAATTAAAACCGTATGTAAGAATTTGTCTAATTCTTGATGGTCTAAAATGCGAAGAAAACAGACTAAATATCGACTAGGCTGGAATTTCTGTCTCTTAATAGTTTAATGGTACAATTGATGCTGGTAATTTATGTTATAGTCGGGACATTGTTTTGTCAATACAACCCTGCAATGCTAGGTTGATTAAATATATTTAGTTCATGGATACACCAGATGTTATCCATTCACTCTACCAGATCTGTAAAGGCTACACTGGAGATTGAGAGTAAAGTAAGAGATCTGAAGCTTTTATCGCAAGAGAATATCTTCTACACTACTGTCAATAAGTTTCTTCCAATACACTGCTTCTATCATACTTACATAGTTCTGATACCAGCATTACAGGGCTTTAGGGAATAGAGGGGGTAAGGGAGAGGAGTCTAGGAGGGGAAGAGGCTCATTTGGAGTATAAACACTGACCGTGGACTAGTAAGGCCAAATGGCCTGTTTCTGTGCTGTAGCATTCTATGTAATTCTGTGTACTGCCTGCAAAATGGATTGGGCTGGATATTGATGGTAAAGTCTGGTCTTATTTTCATGAGTGTGATTCATTTTCTTAGCCTCAGTGGTATTTTACTCGGTATTCAGAACTTGAGCTCAGCTCGTAAAACCTTTGAAGTGCCTCGGGGTTTCTATGATGGTGCGTTGAGGCATGATTATTGAGTACGCTGGTTAGCTGGTTATTCAAGTTCGGATATCCTCCGCTCCAGTGTTTTTAATCTGATGCTTTCAAAAGAATAATGTAGGCTGTCATAAGAGTAAATTAATACACCCTTTTAATAAATTATGTCTTAAAGATGCCCTTTTAAAAGAAACTGCATTGGTAAATACACACATATCAAAACGGCATGTGAAAATAACAACGATTTTGCCGAGCTCGAGTTCTGATTAGCTAACTAGTAAACACTTATATCCTAAAGCTGTATTTCTTACATGGCTGATCTCTGGCTAACTATGCAACCTACTTCTCTGTGTCTCGTAAAACAGGCTGCGTCTTGAGAATTACTTCAAGCATAATTTCTGCAATTTGTTCATTTTAGTCCCTAATAATAATAATAATTCCTTCTTGTTCAGCCTTGGTAGATTTTTACAAGCAATTTAAATCAAATCAGCAGCGGGATTGAGTGTAACCTCAGTAACGTGGACCGTAATCTGGTTACTTCCTCCAGGTGTGAAAGGCACTATCCATATGTCATTTGTAGTTGTTAAGGTCTCCGTTAGTAAAACCATCACCTTTACTTGTCACTGGCACCTTATTAGAGGCTGATGTACTTTAAAGGAGATTTATGTTGCATCAGTTAATATTGTCTTTGTAGGCTAAGAAGCTTGGGATCTTGTTTTAAAACTAAATGGTCTAGGTGAAAACACACAGTTTAATATGGAGAAAATATCCTCTTTGCGTTCAGATATATCAAACCAGAAAAACAGGACAGGTATGAAATTCCACCTGGATCATTTAGTTTTAAAACTTTAGGTTATGCAGAATTGTGAAATATTCTTAAATTCAGTCAAAATGTTTGTTTTTGCATTTGGTTAGCTAGGTGCCTGACGCATGCTGAATCCCTTAGCAATGTTTAAGAGTAACTTCAAATCAGAGTGAGAGTTCCACATATGTATGTGAGTTCCACATATACATATGTGTGCCAACTGCAAGTGGAAATTTATCATAGGTAATAGAATTGAGTTCACACTCTCTATGGAGGGACGCATCCATCTTACCTAATTCCAGAAAGTGTGATCACAAGATTTGTTCCAATGAAGACAGCCTTTGGCCCATCTGGTTTAATTCTTCCAGAATACCCACCCTAGAGGTTTTCCATCACAACAACAAGTTGTTTTTTAAATAAGTCCAATGTTCAGATTACGGCTACCCTTTCTGGCACAGATTGCCACTCTGAGCACTGTCTGGCAAGCTTCACACTACTTGTCCAGCTAGGACCACACTGTGACTTTGGTTTGCAAGGTTAACGGGAGCTGAGTGGGAAGAATCCCTAAACCCTTCTTCAGAAAAAACAGCTTCCAAATTTAGGTGGAATTAATGAATTTTTCACTAATCTGCATAATAATAATAATAATAATCCTTGCATTTGATATAGCACCTTTCATGTCCAGAGGACATCTCAAAGAGCTTCATAGGATACACTGTAAAGTGGATTGACTGTATTTTTGGGTGTACGAAGCAGCCAATTTGCACACAGCAATGTCTCACAAACAGCCATGAAATGAATGACCAATTTTATTTGGGGGCTTATTGGCCAGGGCTCTAAGAGAAGCATCCTTCCCTTTTTGAATAGTGCCATGGCATCTTTAATGTCCACCTGAGCAGGTAGACGGGACCTCGGTTTTATGTCTCAGCTGAAGGACAAGCACCTCTGACAATGCGACACACACCTACACTGCATTGGCATGTCAGTTTGGACAATGAGTTTAATTCCCAGGGTGGGGCTTGACCTCACAACCTTCTGACTCAGAAGCGAGAACCAGGCTGGCACACAGATAATGTTTATGGCAGCAAGAACTTGCAGACTAAGAATGGGTGGAATTTCAGGCCATAGGCTTGATTCATTCATCTTGTATCCAAAGAGTTGCACTTTTAAACTATAGATACTATAGTTATTGACTCACTGAGGATGAATTCCCCTTTCCCCCATTGTGATGCTGTATTTTAAACTCTATTTAAGATTGAGTTTTTTGGGGGGGTTTGATTGCGGGGTCAGATTTTATTCTTTGAATTATGCATTGAAAGTTGTAGTGGTTTGGTATTTGAACATTAGCAGAGTGTAGTTTAGACTGGGATTTGTTTGCCTAGATATACGGCAAATTGTATTGCAGCAATTTTTAGGATTTTGACACAGTGCAGTTTATATTTGAGTTGAAAGGTGGGCTATAGCCTGACACCATTATAACACTGGTTGGATCCAGAAAATCAGACTCCATGTTACCCTGTTTAAAGGATTGAGTTATAATACACCGCCAAGCCTCAGTATATATAAGCCCCTGTACATCGTGCACAGAAAGCCAGCCAGTCCACATTTCCAGCGGTTACTAAGTCTCTACAGATGTCGGGAGGTCCTGTGAACCATGCCCAGGAAGATGTCCAATCAGCCTTGAAAGCAGGAAATGTATCGCAATACTGTGGGTCCCTGGAGGACACTATAAACAAAGCTTTGGGGTTTGGGTGTCTATTGAGGGCTTTTGGAACTAAAATGTGGAAAAGGCATATAGCCTGTCTAGCCTGATTGATGGCAAGGAGCCTGATTCACAAAGCATTTTGCAGTCTGGGCACTGCATGCTGTAAATTCACATCATGATTTACAAAACTGAACCAATATTGATTTGTACTGTGCAAATGTGTTTGGTCTTTGAATCCAGTTTAAGGGGGTTTGTGTTAGGATTCTTTATCCGTTCCCCCCCAAACCATCTGACAGAACAAGCAGTGATAACATGTTAAGATATCTCCTATATAATCTTCGCCAGCAGCCTCCTACAGTACATGTATTTTGAAAAACCTGACTGGGATAGTGGTCTACACAGCAAAACGCAGGATTAGTTCTGGTCAGTCACCAAGCCTATGCCAGTGTGCCTTCATTTTTGAGTTCACTCCTAAGCAAGCATTTATGTAGATGCTTAACTCTTAGTAATAATTTGTGGCCAAAATTTTCACAGGCAAAATTAACTCAACGGCCTAGATGTAATAATCCTTGCATTTTGATATAGCGCTTTATCACATCATCAAAACATCTCAAAACGCTTCACAAGATTTACCGCAAACTAGTGACTGTATATGTAAGCGAACATGGCAACCAACAGCAATTTCCCACAAGCATCCATAAAGTTAATGACTCATTCTATCTGGAGAATTGTTGGCCAGGACCCTGGGAGAAACTCCCTCCTCTTTTCGAATAGAGTCATGGGGTCTTTAACATACATCTGCGCAGGCAGACAGGGCCTCAGTTTAAAGTCTCATCCAAATGATGGCATCTCCGACAATGCAGCGATCCCCCAGTACTGTGCTGGAGTGTCCGCTTAGACTGTGAACTCAAGACGTATTAGGTGTACAACGTCAGCATATTCAGCACTCACTGGAGTTTCAGACTAGACTATGAGCTCAAAGTGACAACCTTCTGACTTAGAAGAGAGAGTGCTACCAACTGATCTATACCAACACCTGGCAGATGTTAGCTAACACCATGCAGGGGTTGGTCCGTCAGTTAACTTGGGACCAGAGGGTTCTGAGTTCTGCATCAGCTAGATATTGTGTCTTGGGAGAAAATAATTTCCCCCATTTCAAATGTAATTCAATGAATTTGGGGACATGGAGGAATCAGTAGAATACACTAACTGTACCAACAATGCTGCTGGATTCACAGCTTTGACGCACTTAAAGCAGACACACTGTAATTGGCAATCCGAAGAGGAGCCCTTTTTGACAAGTTATTTTAATTTTACCAGCTCTTCTAGTGTTTGTTTGATAACATAGTTGCCAGATATATGTAAATAATGTGTACAGCTTGTTGTATTGTGATGGGTTGGAAAAAAGTTCAAATATTTAAACTTATAGGATTTATGTTGTGAGGCTATTTATAAAGAAAATTAAAGTTTATCAAAAACAAAGCAAACTTGTCTCGGTTGTTGTTTTTAACACATGGATCTGAGCTAATGGGAGGGGGAGTAGGTTGCTGGATTATAGCTAAAATGTACTCGTGTGGCGTACAAAACGTACTCTGTTAGATCTTCCAAGTAACGTCCCATAAACAGCCGTGAAGTGAATGAGTATTCTTTATATTTGGGGGATTGTTGGCCAGGACACCAGGAGAAACTCCTTTCCCTT